AACCTGAACTTCCCCTGTTTAAGTTTGAACCTGTTACCTCTTGTCCTATCACTACAATCCCTAATGAAGATTCCCTTCCCAGCATCCTTCAGATACTGGAAGGCTGCTATGAGGTCTCCACGCAGCCTTCTCTTCTCCAGGCTGAACAGCCCCAACTTTCTCAGCCTGTCTTCATAGGGGAGGTGCTCAAGTCCCCTGATCATCCTCGTGGCCTCCTTTGGACTTTCTCTAATAGCTCCATGTCCTTCCATTGCTTGTGCCAGGCTGTACCGTCCCTCCAACATGTATCAGGATGGCTAAGTCCCCTGTGAGGACAAGGGCCTGTGAGCGCGAGGCTGCTCCTATCTGTCTATAATGCACTTCATCCATAGAGTCTTCCTGCAACAGATCCCCACACTAATGTCCCCCACTGCTGTTCTCTCTTTGACCCTGCTGCCTGATCACCTGTCCCCAGACAGAGTTCCATACTCTCCAGCCCATCACTGACACAGATGGCTACTCCTGCTCCTTGTCTGCCTGGCCTGTCTTTCCTAAAGAGCCTATAACCTTCCATTCCAACACTCTGGTCATAGGAGCCATGCCACCATGTTTCTGTGATGCCAATTATATCGTATACCTGTAGACGTGCACAAATCTCTAATTCCTTTGTTTATTCCCCATACTACTTGCAACATGCTTTGTTTCAAGTTTACAGACTGCTTCTTGTCACCCCTGCTGATTTTGTATGGCAGCCAGGAAAGCAGAATTACCTGGCAGAGCAGGATCTGTGTTCCTTTCCTCTACCCAGCTCATAAGTTATTATTCTTTTTTACCTATTAGCTAGCTACACTATTTTCCTAAGCAGCTCCCATTAACCCCCTCTTTGAACCTCACAATCCTTAATAAATACCTATGTTTTCCTGTGCCCTTTCAGGATAGTTGATGGTGTCCTCAGCAGCAGGGGACTGTGAGGCACAAAAGGCTCAGGACTGGAATCCCAAAGATACTTAAGTGCCTAATGAGGCAGGCAGGCAGACACCAGTGGGGTTTTTCAAGTGTAGTTAAGCAGGACTGGCAACCATGTCTCATGGCCAGTGGGTTGTGCATGACTGTCTGTGCACCAGTTTGGATTTTGTTTCACACATCTGGGAGGATAAGCTGGCTGTTTCTGTATGGCTTGTTGTGGGCAAAATGGGGCTGTGAGTCAGGCCTCTTGGTGTCTTAATTTTCCAACCTCAACAGCCAGTTGGCTCATTCTGGCCAGGAGAGCATGCAGCCCAGCAGGTAGGCAGTGGAGGATGAGCCATGGATTTCACCTACTTTCTGCGCAAGCTCTGAGACATGGCACACCTTACCCTGCCAGGGCTCACAGTGAAAATGTGAGTGGTTCACTCTTCTTAGCCAGTATTCCTGTCAACAAGGTCTTTGCAAGTGCCACCTCTGAATCTTGAAGAGCACGTGGAGTCTTACTTCTGCTTCAAACCTCCAGATCTTTACTCTGCTAAGGTGTTTTGGCTTATGACCTGTGGTTGAAATAACGTAGCAGTATACTACTAATAGTAATGCAGCAAGTGCGCAGAAGGGGCAAAGCAGACCTGTGGGGAAACGGCAGGAGAATGTGATGAATGTGAGTTTTGATCTATCCCCAGAGGAAGCAGGAAGCTCCCCTGTGTAGCAGGGATGTGTGAAGGATGCGTGTTCATATGGGGAGCAGCCTGGCTTTGGCCTCACTCTGCAGCACAGCAGCTCCAGTGTGGCCTAGGGGACTGTTGCTGGTCTGGGTAGCCTGGTGCAGCGTTATCACTCCAGTGCCAAGATGGCCATGGTTCCAAGGTGGAATGCTGTGAATGTAACATTGCTGGGGTGTACCTGAAGTGAAGGAATGAGGGAGAGGTAGGGACAAAGGGCACATGAATGTCCTGGAGACAGATTTTACGGCTAGGACTTCACTTACAACCTCAAGTGATGCCTCTGCACAGGGATGGCCTTTCCCTAAATCCTGTGGTCTGGTCACCTCAGACCAAAACCTGCTGAAATGTAATGGTGTCTTTTTTGTCAGTGGAGGGCTGGGAGTGTGGTTGGGTGGGTTTGATTGTTGGATACTTGCTGCTGCTCTGCAGAGTCCTTTCCTTTGTCTGGGGAGGGTTTCTAGCCCAGCAGTGGGCTCATCACTGTAAATCAAAAGCTGCTAGTGTCCCAGCCAAGCTTTGCACCTCAGTTTACCTACCCATAAAATAAAGGTAGTCCGTCTTCCACAGAGATAGTTTGATGGGTAATTGGTTAACACTGATAAAGTACTTTGAGCAGCTAGGCCTGTAAAAGTGCCAAGTATTATTATTATTATTATTATTATTAGTCCCATGTCTTTGCTTTGCTGTGTCAGCCAGATCAAAGAGTCTTCTGGTACTGCAGCAGCTTCCTGCAGCCCCTGCTCCCCGCTTGACACAGGGCATGCAAAGCAGATTAGCCTGCAGCTGGCCTTTTCAGCCCAAAAGCAGCAGTTCCTGCTGCCTGCAGCGGGTGACTGACTATCCAAAGAGAAACTTAAACTAAATACTTGTAAATGCTTGGCTGTAACAGGCTGAGTTTTGCTGCTTGAGTGACTGAGAACCCAATCCCTTGTTCAAAAGGGAAATGAGTTTTCCAATGAATTTCAGGCCACGCTCCGAACCTACCTGGAAAATTACTGTTCTGTTGGTGTTTTGCAATTTGTGTGGACAATTGTACATTTGTAGTTATTTGCAGCCACTCAGAGACTGAGTTCCTGCTGTTCAGCTACCTGAGTGCTCCAAGAGGCTATCTGCTCTCACATTTGCAATTTGCCTTTAACGTGTTTCGTGATCAGTTTTTCCCCAAACAGTGGAAGTCATTTCTTACAGATGTGGCATTTATAGCGGTTCTGAATTTTTAACTAAGGTATGCTTTTTTGATGGGCTTTTTTTTGGTTGGTTGGTTGGTTTGTTTGTGGCTTTGTTTTTTTTTTATCTCCTCACACACCTATACATTTCCTTTATTTTCTTCACACACATGATGATAACCTGCCATGTCTGAATGGTTGACGGGAATCCCAAGTTTATAAGAGATGAACTGGTGAGTATTTGGGAAGTGACCCCCTTTTCCCTGGATGCATACTCTGTGAAACTTAATTCTTGAGAGCCCTAGTGTATTTTGAATTTGGTACAATCAATCAACAGCTCAAAATCATCTACTGGGGGGAGGGCGGGGTGCCTAGACACAGAAATGCTTCTATCAGACTCCTTCTCAGAGGAAACTGGCTAGAACTAAGTTGTGAGATTAATACAACACTCAACAGAGAGGAGCCCAACATTATTTACTAGAAGTAGCAAGAAAAGGCCATTGTGTCCTGGAATGGTTACCAGTGTGTAAGCCAGAAAACATGCCCATGTTTCCAGCTGCTATGCCAAAAGCTAACACACTAAGCCACGTATAAATCTACCAGCACAGGCTTTTCCAGCACTCTCTCACAGGGATGTGTAGCCGCTTCATCATTTTATCCTCTGTTTCATCTTGCAGACATCTCCATGATCGACTGGTTTAGAAACTCAAATGTCTGACAACTCTTGAGCTTCTTATGCATGGCTAATGTACCCAAGAGTGCAGCAAGACACCATCTGCAACCATGCTTGGCCTGGCATGAAATCAGACAGGGAAGCTCTTTTCATCTTCTTGCACCTTGAGGTCTCATCCCAGAATAATGTTTTCATTTTAATTGTCTCTCAGTAGCTAACTTTATTCCTGGTGTCAGCATCCACAGTAAACACAAAGATAGTTTTGCCCCTGGCTGTGGCCATAATAATAGCTGTAGTACCTCTTGTCTACATCTTCAAACTTAAGCTGTGAGCTATTCTGGAGAGCAAATATATTCTTTGTGTATTTTATGCAACACAACAAGGGCCTGGTCTCTAGAAGCTACCATAATACTACTACTAAATAATAACTCAACACAGAGATTAACACAGCCACACAGAGACTTTCTGATTTGGTACATTAACTTCTTATTCTTTTCATGCTGTGAATGTAAGCTGTAGATGGAGATACAAAGTGCTGTGAAGATTACTGTAAGTACTCTGATCTTCTGAACCCTGAATGGAGGTCGCAGTTGTATAATAAATTGCATTAAAATATAAATGAAAAGAAATCATGTACAATTTTTCCAGCAAGAATTATTCACAAGAAGCTTCATGGAAGAAATGGCTGCATTAGCCCCAATAAAATCCATTATTTCTTTCAGGTAGCTGCTTGACGCTTTGCTAATTGTCTGAAGAAACCTGTATCAGCATCTGATGCGATATTCAGGGCTTCCAAAGACCTCACTTGGCTCAGTGATTTTGCAGAGCTGAGAGGGGTTTTGTTTCACTCATTAGATCAACTAGAGAAAATCCGCTTCATAATATAATGATTTTCTCCTACTCACCAGAGTGCAAAGATGAGCCAGGCTAGCTGATCGACAGCAGCATGGCTTTTTCAGTCCCACGGGAATGATCCTTGGAACCATCGGAGTTAAGAGAAAATCATTCATTGACTGCTGCAATGGAGATTCCTGCTAACACAACGAATACCAGTTGTTTTTAATCCTGCCAATAAATGGCAATTTTCTCTAACAATGGGAAAGAAAATTGCATCTGAAACTTTGGAGAGCCCAGAAGAAACTATATTCTCAGTTCCTCTAACTATGCACTGTCAGCCGCTGCTGACACAGGCTTGAATCCAATGTGAAGTTCATCACCAGCACCTGAGAGTGCAGAATTTCTTTAGAATTAATTGGTCAGCTGGGCTTTAGAGAGAGAAATCATAGAATGGTTTGGGTTGTGTGGGTAAAGCTCTGATGGATAGTGTTGCCTGGAACAGCTTGCCAACTCATTGGTTGCCTATACTGCATAAGCAGTCACTACTGCTGACAATGTGACAGCAAATACTATTATGGAAATCAAGTGAAAATGTGTACTGGTCTAAATAGTTGCACATTTCTAAAGAGGAGGGGCTTTCCCAGTGCTGACCTTTCTACATGCTCTCTGCTGTTTCTGTGACCTCAAGACTCTTTGCCGCTCAGCAGCTGCAATCTGCTGCCTGGAGCTTGTCCGAGTTCAAAACCTAACTCCTCTTCATCAGGAATGACAGCTGAGAGGGGCTGTGCTGTGTTTTCAAAATGCACAAATGTTCCACTGTGAGTATAAATGCTGGTGGAAATGTCTCCCTTCCTGTCCTGTCAGCTGCCATGACTCTTGTGCTGTAAAACAAAGAGTATTTCTGAGCAGAGTGTGTATCATCCCTGTTTTGACAGCCCATCTCTCTTATGCTCGTTGGCATAGTTAAAATGGTGCTTAGAATAACTTACATGCTGAATTTTAAGTGATTCAGACACTACTGTAGTTTAAGTTGTACATGTGTGGACCTTGTCAATGGAAGGAGGGTGTCAGGGGGCTTCATCTTACACAGGTTTTTTATGCTGATAAATTGTTCAATGCCAATATGCTGTGTTTTTACAGGCTATCTTAACTATAACAACTGCACTGCTGTGGTCTCAGTTGCTCTGTGCCACTAGAGTTCTTTTGGGATTTGAATTGAACCTCAGCCCTTCAGAGAACTTCAGAGCACAGAGCAAAAGCAAAGCAATGAACGGGTATTAGTCTGAAAGATCATTCTGTTTTACGAGCTCTATTTACACACTTAACAGGTAACTTTCCATTGCAATTTACATTGAAGTGAACTGGAAGCTTATTCCTTTGTGTGCTATTTAATTTAAGAGGATTTTTTTCTATTTCTCTTAATTTGGAACATTGTTCTGAAGGTACTAAAATTAATTCCACTAACAGTTGTGGTAATTCAGTGGCTATTACTAACTTCCAATTGTTTGTTTCTTTTCATCCAAATTCATTCCAGTTCTCTCAAAACCTTTTATTTACTATGCAGATTAGGTATGATGCATGTGAGGATGAGTTTGCCTTCTTGTGAAATGCAGCTATTTCTCAAAAAAAACCCCATGCTAGCTGCTTCTGCTATTTGCATGGAGAAAATGATAGCCTTTTCTTCTACCTAAATATAAAACCAGCAAGTACCTGATATTAATTTTCTCTGTCTTTGAAGACGAAGAATCAGCATCTAATGGGAGCTATATGTCTACCAGTCACAGCAGATGTGTGTGTGTGTGTATACATACACGCATATATATATATATGTACGCTTTAGTTGCCATTTGCCAGGTTTTGGTGACAGCAGTACTGTGCATGACAGAACTTAGGTATCTGAAAGCTAGCATGTGCCTGATTTCACAATAACAAGTATGTACATTCAGTCAGTATTTCTGAAATGGTTCCCAAAATACAATTGCTATTTCCAGCCCTTGGGAGTAGCAGGATCCATAAATACAACAAGCCTCTTACATAACTCACCTTATTGCTATTGTGAGTCAAGCAGCAAGGGGCAGATATTTTTATATTTTTTTTTTAGGGTGCTATAGGTGTTTTATTTGGTAACATGTTCCTTGATAAAGAAATGATTAGGCTAATTGAGGGGAAAGGTAGCTAGAAATAGGTTAAAGAGGTCTTAAAAGTACAGCTTAAAAGAATTAAATCTGTCAGTCTTTATTTAGCAGAGACAAAAATAAACATCAAGTTAGCAAACAGAGGACAATAACAGGAAACAAAAGGTGTAAGGGGCACAGCACTAGAAAAGCCAAAGAATCACTGATATACCATATCTTTTCTAATATCTAACTCACAGAAGGAAAAAAAATGAAAGCATGTGAACATACAGACATACCTATGTGTGTATGATGTGTTTAACACTACATTGACTTTGCTATTTAAATATCAGACAGAACAGCAAAAACTGTTGCAAGGTAGATGGATATAAAGCATCTTTAACTTGACTTATGGGCTTGATGTAAACGTGCAAACGCCCCACCTCCCCTTAGTTTTGCCCCTCTGCTCACCAGAATAGCAAGAAAACAAGTTATTATTATAATCAGATATGGTTATGCTCCCAAATTATACTTTGTTGTCACCAGTCTCATAATACCTAAATTTCTCCCCAGCATCTCAGTTCCACATGTGTGGTTATTATTTGCATTTAGATAGTGCTACAAGACCCTGTTATGGATCAGAATCGATGCAAGGAATGGTCCTTCTCTGAAAGCTTTACAAGGTATGAAATGAGAGAACTGAGGAATACAGGCAGGAGATGCAGCATGAAGAACTGCCATGCTGTATTGTAGACATTACAGGAAAGAAAAGTTTTAAGAAGAGTTTTGAAGAAAAAATATCAGTAACTCTTGGGCTGTTTATAGGATCCTTCTAAATAAAAGGCAGCCAAAAGAATGCACAAAAGAACCTTGTTAAATGTATTACAAGTGAGCTGTGAAACCTGGCATTGTGAGTTAGATCTGAGCAGTGAATGGAAATGGCAAATAAGGTGAAGACAGGCTACCAAGGCCTTCCAAAGTAAAAGACATCTGGGTAGGGATCAACATGATAGAGTAGGCTGAGCCAGCACAGGGATGAAAAGAGAGGAATAACATGGTGGAAATGACAGACTAAGAAAAATGGTCTTTATAGCAGCATTCTCAATAAGTATGAGCAAGACAAGGTTATATTTTCCAAGGCCAAAGGAAAGGATGTAGAGGTAATTGAGATTTGAGAAGATGGGATTTTTAGCTATATGGACAGATTTAGACGTAGCCTGAACATAAAGGGCTAGGGAAAGGTCTGAGTCAAAGATGATTACATACAGACAGATAATAGTGTAATAGATAAAGTAGAGAGCACTTGAGGGAGAAGACTTGACACTATTTTAACTGTACTGAGCTTAAAATGACATTAGGGTTGTCAATTAGCCAGTTTTTATCCAGATGGTCCAGGGATTGGACGCTGGAGTATTTGTGTGTTGTCTGGGCTGATCATGACCCAGGCACCATACCCTGCAATACAAAAGAACAAGGACCAGGCTCAAAAATAGAGACACCGCCTAAATATCACACATATAACTTTAATAACGTATGCCCTTACAGATCCAAACAGCTACCCAGTGAATCATCAGCCGGGTGACTCAAAGTACGTTTCTTCCAGCTCACATCATCTTGTGGTGCCTGACCATGCAGGTGTGGGACTCACAGGGCGCCTGGGGCTGTGTGCAGCAGAAGGTGAAGTCACACTGAACAGTTGGAGATGTGTTCCTGAGCATCTTTGTGACCCCTCTGGACTTGCTCCAACAGGTCCATGCCCTTCTTGTGTTTGGGGCCTCAGAGCTGGACACAGAACTGCAGGGCTGTCTCATGAATGCAGAGCAGGAAGCAGAGTCATCTCCCTTGACCTGCTGGTCACGCTCCTTTTAGAATCCTAGAACCAGCTAGGTTGGAAAAGGCCTTTAAGACCATCAAGTCCAGCCGTTACCCCGGGACTACCAAGTCCCCCACTAAACCGTGTCACTGAGGGCCTCATCCACACAGTTTTTGAACACCTTCAGGGATGGTGACTCCACTTCCCTGGGCAGCCTGTTCCAATGCTTGGCAACCCTTCTGGTGAAGAAACTGTTCCTAATATTCAGCCCAAACCTCCCCTGGTACAGCTCGAAGCCACCACCTCCTGTCCTACCGCTTGTTCCGTGGCAGGACAGACAGACCCACCCGGCGCGCGGCCCCGGGCCCCGCCTCCCCGGACTACAACTCCCGGCAGGCAGCGGGGTTGTGTCCCGAGGGCCGGAGCAGGCGCCGGCTGGTCACGTGAGCGCGCGAGGTGGGCCCGGGCTGGGTGTGCTGGGCGCCGCACTCGGGCCCGCGGCGGCGTCGCGGTGAGCGGTTGTGGGGCCCAGTTCAACGGCGGAGCTGACCCGCTCTCGGCCCCGCTCCCCGGACAGGTATCCGGCCCTAACGCCTGCCCTTCCTCGCGCATGGGATCCGCTCCTCCCGGCCCCCCGCCGCTGTGCTCGGGCGGGGACTTTTGCCGGCCCGGGCCTTTCCTCTGGCCCAGCCCCTCTCGCTCGCGACCACAGCCACTTGCCTCTTCGCCTCCAGGGGTGGTCAGGGAGGTTGCTGGAGGCTGTTGCGGGGGTATCTCCTTGCCCTCCCGAGCACTCTGGGGACCCGCGGGCCGTGGGCCACCTGTGGCCGGCAACCGCGGGGACAGAGACTCGGGCTGAGACTGGAAGGGTGGTAGGACAGGGACTGGGCGGCCCGGAGTGGTTTGTTGCTGTTCCTGACGTGCTGAATCAGTCTGAAATCAAGCCGTTGCTGAAGCGCATAGGCTAGCGTCATTGCTTCAACAGCAAATTCGAGGTTGCTGTTGAACTCTTGATTTTTACCTTTCCCGTAAAAAGAAGTTCTCCCCTGTTACATTAAAATATTCCGAGTGCTCATTATTTCCTTTCAGACTTTTAAGTCGCTGTGGTATTGATCTCTGTGTGCCTTGAATTTTTGTTCTGAAGCATGTGTCTGCTTTCAGCGTTCACGGCTAAAAAGCTGAAACCTTCCATTTCAGAGCAAACGTTTTTAGTTGATTTAAAACAAGAGGTGACTCCTGCAGATGCTAGATGGTTTCTGCCTGCTGTCTTTGTGCTATGGCAGTCAAACCGATTCCTACTTTTGAGTGATTGATGGGTTTTTGGGGGGGTTGGTTGGCTTGTTTTTGTGTTTTTATTTTCCAGATGCATTTTGTGTAATTAAGGGCATGAGAAGGGAATTAGCTGTACTCTTTTTGTGGAAACCCCTGTTTTTCTTGGTACTATAGAAGGCAAATTCAGTTTTCAAGTTGTGTAGATGTTGAATAATTTGCAGTTGGCCTGTAAACTGACTTGTCACAGTAGGTACTAATCAAAACTATGTTTAAAAAGCCCATGGCTTTTCTGTTTTGGGGCATTATTGTGCTTATTGCGTGCTAGTAGTCATATATTTGTTTATAGTCAACTGCTTTTGAAGGGCAGATATCTCATGATAAAGGATTGGTGCTATGCAAAACCAAAACCTCTGTCCTGCTACAGTTTTTTATTTAAGATTAATTTGTGGCTTAGGTAGTTAAAAAAGTTAGGCTGTACAGTTATTAACAAAGCTGGTAAGTGCAGTGAGCCTTAACGCACAACATACAATGTTTGGGGCTGTATATAGCTCCACTGTGTGGCAAACATCACAAGAGTTGTGATACAGAAGAGTGTTCAGTAAAATGTGGGATTTTCCTTTTTTGCACTGTTTCTCATCCTGTGCTTGGTTAGAAGGAAACTCTCAAAAGATGCACTTGCTGAAGAGATGGGCCTGTAGCATCACTGAGGCTGAGCAAAGTCTAATGTATTCCTGAGCTGTAGAGTTAGTGTTAACTAGCAATAGTTCATTTGGAATGCAAGACCAATTTAATGAGAAGTAACTGTAAATCTTTAATATCATATGTGTCCTTTTAAAGGAGACAATTTGTGTAAGAACGCACATTAGGTAAAAGTAAGTTTTGTTTCATGGTCTGTTCCTTCTGACTGCCAAGTTACATAGCAGCTTTCATGTGAAAGTCATTCCTGCATGTATTCTGGGAGAGGAAACAAATGGCAGTATTCTTTGGGAAGGCATGAGAGAGGAAATGCTTAACTGTGTGCTGAAAGATGCCTAAATATGTATGGGGAACAGAAGCATGGTTAAAAGTCTGCATACAATTTACACATTAGAAACATTTATCTTAAAGCTTTAGAAGAGAAAGTTCTTTCCAATTCCAACTACTTGATGCCAAACGTCCTGACACAAAGCATAAAAAGGAACTCTTACTGGCTTTTTTTTTTCTGCAGAATGTTTTTAGTAGCAGCTATTCTGGGGTTTGCTTCCATTCTAAAAAGTAATTTTGATTGAAATATTCTGGCAGTGCTAACAACATCTTCCTACCTGTTTCATTCCTGTCAGGGGCCAGGTACAGCACAAAAGTCAAATGCTGTTTGAAAGTTGAAGAAATGAGCACACTGTTATCCTCTCATCTCACGCTGAACTGGGTGTCTCTGTATTTTCTACAACTGAAATGACTTATTAAACCTGGAGGCTTCTGCGCAAGCAAAACCAGAAGTAAGTGTTTTAAAGTAGGCTGGGTTAAGCTTTTGTGTATGATAGGGTGTTTGCGTCAACAAAATCTAGGTGATTGGTGCATTACCTCTTTGCTGGGTTATTGTTTGTTACAATGGATGGAAAGGCTGTATGCCGAGATGGCGTGATCTGAGTGGACCCATTAATGCATAACACATGCAGGCAGATATGTAATGCAGAAGTATCAGACTGTCTTTGCTCAGCAAGCTACCTCCCTGTTGCTTGGAAGGGAGTGCACTCAAAAGTATGGTGCTGCCCCATATATGATTTAGGCAGGATAGTCCCAATCACCCCTTTCTTAGGGACTGAAGCAAAGAATGGTTTGTGGATGACTTCATCATAGTCACAGAATCATGGAATGGTTTGGTTGGAAAGGACTTCAAAGGTCATCTAGTTCCAGCTCATTGTTTTAAACAGAGACACTCTCAGAATGGTACTTTCTTAATAGTATTACGTGTATTCAGAGAAGCAAATCATGTAGTGGAAGAAGAAACTAAACGCAGCAGAGGAAAGAGAATGAGTCTGATGCATTGGTTTTACATGTTCTCAAAGGAAAGCTGGAGGAAAGCCCAAGCAGGGGATGTCATTGTAACTGTTAGTATAATTTTTTATACAGTATATTATTATATAACATAAAATTTCTGTTTCTCTTGTGGAATCATCAGTTATATCTTTAGCAATAGAACTACAGTGACCTAAGGGGATATCTTTCAAGAAGAATGAGCAAAAGCAACTGAAAGCTTTCTTAATAGAGAACTTTGAAGTTGTATTTACTATCCCATAGGCTTTTCTGTCAACTGCATCAGCTTTTGACAATGTGGGAGGTATGCATTCCCTGCAGGGAATGCAGTGTAGAGAAAATAGACTGGGTGGGTTTAGAAAGCCATGGATCAACCTTCAGGCATAGGTTTCCTACAGATGTAATGCTGATTCTAGAGGTAATGTGACAAATGGTTCTCAAACAACTCCACTTGCTTCTGTCATGCTACCTAATATACCTAAATTTAACAGTTACTTGCTATACAGGGCTATGTGTATAGAGGGAAAGCTACTGCTTTCTTTGATCCACTCATGACTGAGCTTTCACTTTAGAATTTGGCAACCAGATATTAAGAAAGAGTCAGGAAAAAAGATAATCATGGCAAGAGAAAGATATTATGCATAGAATAATACAGAAGCAATAAGCTCGTAAAAGCGGACAGAAATAATTGTTGCCATAATTGCAAGGAACAGACTTCCGACGATTGCTAGAAAACAGGCCTTAGCAAATAATTATATTGTTGCTGAAGTAGGTGCTGCTTTTTCTTGTTACTGTGATATAAAGCATGAGAACTGTCTAACAGGTCCATCAGTAGATAAATTACTCAATGTCCGTGATGGCATGTGTCCTACTATATCATTGCTCTCTCACAAGGAGCTTGTAATTCTCTTACAAGAAAGCTTGCCAGGATAAAAGCCAGGGATATCACCCTAAGCTACATTTTCAGTATAATTTGAAAAGAGGAAGCAATTGAGTTGATAATTAGAAAAAGTAATGTTACAAACTTATGTTGAGTCTTGTTGGAAGTTGTGATTTTCTTTGAAAATGAGGTGGGAGTCAGATTCCAAGAGAAGTTAAGACAGTAAAAAAACCCAACCCACCTTCAAACAGAGACAGCAGAAATATCAATCACGGCAGAACTGAAGTGTTTGGGGTTTTTTACTCTTTCCAGCTTTTTTTTTTTTTTTTTTTAAGAAACATATACACAGCAGTGCACAGGATCTACTGCACTGAGAAAATATTTGCCAAGCTTTCCACAAAGCTACTTGTTGGCACTTGTAGAACTTTGTTGTCAGGATACTATTTTTTGTTAGTGCAAGGTTGTCCTTCTAATGTCTTCAAAACTACCTGGTATCGTAAGCCTGTAAAATAGGAGTGGGCAGGCAACTGGTCCACTTCTGATTTGTTTGTTGAATTAGCAGCCACTTGACTGTTGTGAACTTTTGTTCGTTTGCACTAGTTCGTACTGAGTCCTCTGGGGATGATGACTTGCCCTTTCAAATACAGGGCACATTAGGGAACAAGAGAATGCTTTTCCTGGGAGAGGAGCCTTTCTGATTCTTCGCAAACAAATTCAGCAGTGGGTGTGGAGTTGTACAGCTTGCAGAGAGTTGGCAACTTAAGGAATTCTGGAGTGCTTTTTTTCTAGAAGACAGGAAGCTGGGTTGAGAATTGGAGCTAGGGAAGCAAGTAGCTCCAGATTGCAACTTTTTGAGAAGTGGTATTTCTTTTGTAGGATCCAGGGTTTTTTTTTTTTTTATAATGCATTACTGATGAATTTGATTAACTGACTTAGAAACTCCGGTGCAGAAAGGCAAATACTAATATACATTCTACCTGCACATTATCCCATTGATGCTATACTGCTGGCATGCTTTCTGTGTTCTAGCTATGGTTTGAATTGAGAAGCCTTTTGAAGAGACTTGAAAGCTCATATGGTTTGTCTGGAAAATGTACACTTAGTAACTACATGTGAATGGGGCATGTCATTTAGACATTAAGGAAGAAGACCCACCAGTCTCATATCAGTAGAATGAGTATTGCTTGAGGAAAGGTAAGGGCTGCAGACTCCATTACTAAGAGGTTACACGTGGAAGGATTTTACACCCTGTAAGTGTCTGTGATGGTAAGTTAAAAATAGGAGATTCCATGATCACCACTCCATGTCAACTCCACTCTGGAATAAGTACAGGTAGAAGTTTATGACTGGATGTGTGAAGGTGGTTTGTTGGTGTGCATCGTAGTCGATACATTCAACTCTGATGCCTGAATTGGCATTATTTTGGGCCTGGTTTTAATGTCAGTACTGTATTATTTTTAAATGTTAAAATCTATTTTTCAGTTAAGTAGTCTAAATGTATCAGGTCAGAGAGCATGGGTGACATCATGGTGAGTAATAATTGAGGACTGGAGGACCTATTCTATGAAGACAGGCTGAGAGAGCTGGGCTTGTTCAGCCTGGAGAAGAGAAGACTCTGAGGAGACCTTAGAGCAGCTTCTACTGCCTAAAGGGGGCCTATAAGAATGCTGGAGAGGGAATTTTACAAGGGTATGTAGTGATAGCACAGAGGGGAATAGCTTTAAACTGAAAAGAGGGTAGTCTTAGATGAGGTACAAGGAAGTAGTTCTTCCCTGTGAGGGTGGTGAGGCAGTGGCACAGGTTGCCCACAGAAGCTGTGACTGCCCCATCCCTGTCAGTGTTCAAGATTGAGTTGGATGGGGCTTGGAGCAACCTGTCCTAGTGGAAGGTGTCCCTGCCCATGGTAGGGGGTTGAAACTGGATGAACTTTAAGGTTCCTTCCAACCCAAACCAGTCTGTGATTCCATGATTTTGTAATTCTAAAATTTTATTACCCTTTAATAAGATGAGTGACTACTTTTGACTTCATTAGATTAAACGCTTATTTACTGAAGTTGCTGATGCTTACGTCAGTGACTCTCTGATATGATAACTTGGATGCTGTTGCTGGCTTGACCTTTGAGGACTTTTGCTTTTCCATGCTTTTTTAAGGATTTATGTTTCTTTATGCTTAATATGTGAAGTGGACTGCTGTTACCTCCCCTTTCGCTCCCTTCATGGTTGCTTTAGCTTAATTTTGCTACTGTCTTAGAAATTCCTAGAGCCTTGCCCTGTTCTAGATGTTATTTCTGAAACCCAGTGTATCCTGTGTTATCTCTTCTGTGCAGTCATGATGCTGACAGATGTGGTTTTGTTTTTAGGACCTTGTATTTTATGCTTTTATTTTATTAGGGGAAACATAAGGCAGCATATTCATACTGTCTCTGTAGGTTGTTACTCTACCAAATAAACCCCTACAATCTTTGTATGACACCAGCATATCTTGTCATTAGAAACATGATGTTTTATTTCTTGCATCTTCTGTTTAAATGAGGGTGCAAGAAGCTTTTCTGTTTCCCTGCACTAACCTACACTTACCTTTCAAGCACTTAGTTGTTTACTAATATGATGCTGGTTTTCTTCCCTTTGAAATAATTCCTTATTTGGCATGAGGTCTAACTATGAAAATAACATCATTTTTTAATTTTGACTGGCAGATGCCTTGCAGATCTTAAATGATTAACCCAGAACACTCATTGCTTTCAAGTTTTAAATAATTGCCCAGTTGTAACTCTTTTCGGAAGTCTTCTAGTTGTTTTCTGAATTACTATGACAGCAAATGGAGAGGTTTAGTAAATTTTGTACCTGTATTTTTAGGAGAGGCCTTGGAGATGCACAGACTTTTTTCATTCTTGCACAAATCATTTTCTGGAGCAGGTTTATTAGAAGTTTGGCTTTATCCTGTGTCATGGTTATTGATGTGTGACAGAAATTGGAATGCTTCTAGAAAATGTTATAACTTTTTGTTGCTCATTTTTACTATATTGATAAATCTGATATTTGTAAAAGCATCCAGTTTCCCTTATTATTTGTTTAGATATGTTTAGATGCCCACACAATAACTGTTTCAACATATAATATGTCAATAATGTTTTTTCATTGTGTTTACCTCTTAGTATATTCTATCTCTTCTGTGTGGGGTAATTTAATTTCCTCAATGTTTCCAGATTAACAGTGAACATTACCGACTACAGAAAGTTTAAAACTTCATTATAGGTTAAGTGTTGTCAAAATTGTTGTTGCTCCAAATGATTGATACAGGTACAAATTTGAAAGTGGATTGTCCAAAGTTTTAATCCAGTGATGGACAGTCAATAATATTAAATAGCTGGAAAGTGGTGCTCACAATTTACTTGGTGCTGTTTACTTGATCTCAGATGTTTGTGATAGCAGTCCTTTGTCAGGTGCAGATTATGTTGTGCTTGGGAACAAACTAGTTCTTTATGTATGTAAAGATTTTAGGCTGACACACGCATGGCTCAGTTGTATAACGGTTACAAATTATTTGGTGTGATTCTGGTGTGAAAGACCAGCAAAATGTCAAATTAGCTTTGTTTCTGGATCATAAACAATGAGAATTAGTTTCACCAGGATGTTGTTGGTCTAAACATGGCTTATAAGAGTTTTGGTGGTCTTTCCAAGCTGCACTGCACACGTCCTCTAATCTGTTGGCAGTCAAGAACCTTAAGAGTAGCCTGTCACTTCAGGTTTCTTAACCCTCAAAAGCTTATTTACATGTTTTCAAGTTTGTTTAGATTTTCTGGGTGGGTATGTGCTTGTGTTATTCGTAAAGAACAGATTGGATCCTTGAATTGACTTCTTAAAACCTGACCTTCAGTGCCTACCCTTTCAAATGTGATTGTGCCTCCATTCCCATGAATCCTAGGAAGCACAAGTATAATATTTAATGAAAATACAGATTCCAAATAGTGTCATTGTTATTGTAAGATCATTGGAGCCTACATTTCTTGATAGTGTTACTATATTAAGTCCTGGTAACTAACAAAGCTTTGTTTATTAGTTCAAGTTAAATCTAGTAAAATTGCTTTGTCTCCTTGCTATTATGGATTCAGGGAAGAATGCTCACTGTTTGGAACTTCAGAAGATCATAAACAAAGTTGTCTGATTTGTTTTAAATTTGCAGAGTAATTGTGCTTCTGTTCAGCTGCTGACAAGCATGAGGTTTGCATGGTTTTCAGTTTTTTGTATAGAAGTGCATACAGGTGATAGTGGGAAATAAGTGTTTGCAGTGGAAAACTACTTGCCATATTTTTCCCTCTGTGGAAGGACTGCTGTGGCTCTGTGATAATGAGAAAGTTGTAGCTATTTTAAGACTACGATGGAGTATGGTTTTGAATTGTTCATGGCAATATTACTTTGGGAGGTTGCCAGAAGCTGCTGCTGCAGTTTGACAAAAAAAATATTATAAAAGGAAATAATTCATGTTAATTTCAAATGGTTTTGAAATCTTGTTTGCTCTTTTGGCACAGAGGAGCCCACTTCTCTAAGGGTGTGTCTTTGTTTGATCGGTAATTTTAAATGAGAACTTGATCTTCTTTGTTGCCTGAAGATCATAGAAGCATAGAGTAATTCAGGTAGGGTAAGACTTCAGAAGGTCTCCCCTTGCTCAAAGCTTTATTGGGTCTTAAAAAACTCTAAGGATGGAGTCTGCAACCTCCCTAGGTCTATTTTCACTGCCTCACAGTGCAAAAGGAGGTTGGACAGGGGGTTTATTTAGTTTTTCCTTAAGTCATTCTGGAATCTAGTTTGTTTCAGCTGCTGTTGTGTGCTGTCCTGTCATCACTCACCACTTTGAGGACTCTGGCTCTGTCTTCTAAGTAACCACCTTAAAAGTACTGGTGGGCAGCTGTGAGTCCCACTGAAGCGGTCTATTCTTCAAGCTGAGTAATTCCCAGCTCCCTCAGCCTCTCATTATAGGGCAGGTGCTTCAGGTTCTGCTCCTCTTGGTGATCTTGCTGTCTAGTGGGTGTTTTATAATGCAAAGTTTAATTACATGACCATAGTTTATTTAGAGAAATGAGGGAAATGTGGGCGGTTATAAATGTGCTTATTTGTATCTGGGTTTTTCAAGTGTGACTTGAATTCAAAGCGAAATGGAGGTAGCACAAAAAAAAAAATCACTAACATAGTGATGTGACTGGCATTAATTTTGGTGAAAATATTTTATGGATTTACAGGAAAACAATCTGACAGATAACACCTTCAATACATATTAATTCAACTTAATTAACTCTAAATAAGCCTGATTTGCATTAGTGAAGTGTTGGAAATGAAAGAGTAGATGATTGTAATTCTACCGTGAAATACTCTGTAGAAATTGAAGTAGATGAGTAAATTCATTCTCACTAAGTATGTTTAGAGAAATCAGCCTCATGGGGAATTGAGGGAATGTTACACAAAGTAGATTTCCATACACTGAAACACACACACGAGGGTCTGCTGTAAGAGCTGCCAGGCATCTTGATGTTTGAAATTGCCTGGTGGGGTGACAGCGTGGAGGGGAGGTGAGCACTTTCCTGCTGTCCTGTCAGGTTCTACAAAGAGACATTTTTTTTGAGCTTCTGAAAGGATCTTTGCTTATGAGGTTGGGAAAAGTTACAGTCAGTGAGTTGTACTGGGGAGTCAGATGATTATCTTGGAATCGTAACTCACTTTATGTGCTACAGCTCAGCCAAAACTTAGTGAATGTGCAGTAAGGGAAGGAATAATGCAGAAAGCAAAGGAGGAAACGGGAAACTTCTAAAACGCTTGATGCCATTCCCTGTGTGAGCAGCAGTCATTGGAGGTAGTATTGAAAGGCATAAAGAATATCCAAATGAGCTTTTGTTCTCCTGAGCTTAGGCAGTGGGTTGGCACGAGGTGTGCACCCAGTATCCCTGTGGGCTTGCATGACCTCTGGTGCAGCTTGTCTCTCTGTGGCTTTGCTGATGGAGTAGTTGCGTTTGCAAGATCAACACCTAGAGTGTGCCTGTACCTACTGCAGTTAATGTTTCCATTTGGCAGTGCAGGTCTATTTAGGGGTGCCACATCTTTTTAAGAAGTCACTTTTCTAGGGCTTGTTTATGCTCACATGTCTCTCTTGGTTGGTGCAACCTTAATTTAAATTTATGTGAGCTGAAATTAAAACCACTGTCTATGCTGACGTAGAAAAACTGGGGCTGCTGTGCTTTTCTTTTTGTCCCATCTGGTGTTTCTCACTTAAAATATGAACAAAAACCATATGGAAAACATTTTAAAACAAGCTTCTCGGTAAATATACTTTTAACCTTTACAAGTCTCTCATTATTAGGAAACTTCTGTGAATTAAGGAAAGTAATCTGAACAAATACTTGATGTTCACAAGTTAACATAGCAATGTAAAAAATGTTAAAGCTGCCTTAAGCTTGATAGTATGCTAGATGCTGCAAGGAAGAAAAAACGTTCTCTGAAGATTATAAGCTTTATTGTCAAAACTCGGGTCATGGTTTTCCAGCTTCTTCACACAGGCACATTCCTGTATTGTTAGTGTAGCTTCAAAGCATTTTTGATCTGGCAGTTTGTGTTGCGGTTGCTTGTCTGGAACTGTTGCAGTGTCACTGCGAGCTCACTGTTATGCAGGAGCATGGGCTGATTTGTCATGGTGCAGGGAGCTTGGTGCAAGCTTACCAGTGTTGAAAGGGGAGTGAAAGTGCTTATTTAAGGCTACAGTGTTTCATTTATGGAATAGGAACAAAGATGGTATGGTATGTAATCACCTCTTCCCCCCCCAACAGTAAGAACTCAAGATTGTACCTACTTGTACGATGGCACAGTGGCTTGACCCAGGGTGTGTGACTAGTGAAAAGGAAGTACAATGTGCCACAATTACTGGCAGTAATTGTTTGCAGTAATTTCAGAAATGAGCGTTTTCACAGTGTTTGTTCTAACGATCCCCTGTGCTATGTCAGGAAATGATTGAGATGGTGAATCTGGTATCATGTGATTCTGTCTTTAATCAATAGCATTTAAATAGAAATAAAATCCTTTTCCTTTATAGGAAGGAAATCTCAGGGCTGTTCAGACGCGGAGGCCGGACACTCCCCCTTCTGGTGTGCTAGCTGCAGTTTCAGTTTAGGAAATGGGAATTGTTTTTAAATGTGAAAGTGCTGTAGAGCATTTTTCCTTCTATGTACTGATGTGCTTGTGATTTCAAGTGCTGTGCCATAATTTTAGGGTTTGTTCCTGTTTTCCTAAATGGGGAGTCTTAATACAATTACTCCAAGTAGGATGCATTTCGTAATATGTATATCCTGTTGCTTAAAACAAATGCTAATGTCTCTTGACTGAACTAATAATAGTATTCAAACACCGGAATTCCAAAATACTGCTTGAGTTGAAATAGACCTTATAATAAGAACCAGTCCCAGAGCTAGTAACGGATTTCTTGGTAGATTTGGATGCTTTAAAATAGTGACCTTCAGTTACAAGGCATTGTGTAATTTTTAAAATGAAGAGCAACTTGCAAAACATTCCTGAAGGTTCTTGATGTCTACCTCTGGACCTCCAAAGTCTAAAATCGCTCCTGTAAATGGAACATAGTCCAGGTGGAAGTTTATGTCTCCCAATTTGTGCTTTCTCATCAGATACCCAGTATGGCCTCATCATCAACACCTAAATATAATTCAAACTCCTTGGAGAGTTCCTCAAGTAAAAGGGTGAGTGGAGCTTTTTTCATATGTTTTATGTCAAAGGTCATCAGAGATAATTATCTTCCATATTTGGGTAGAAATTAATATTTGAATTTCTGCTTTCTTGAATGTATGTATGTATTTTTATTACTAAGATTCTAATGCAGTTAACTGAGTTGATTTAAAACTTTTTGTAGTGGATACATGAAATACCCTATCTCAAATTATGAGTGCCTCCTTAAAATCGGTTCTAATTTACTCTTATTCTGCCTTTCTACAATGAAATATTCTGTGGCATTCTTGAAAGTTTTGGTGCTTTGATGCTGTAGAAGGACTGTCTAGTGCAATTTGTAAGATACACCTAGTTATGTTTGGCTGGCTTGTTATAATAATGTCCATCTGTAGCGGGAAATACATTAAAGTATTCCAGATCATGTTCCCTTCTGCTTTTGATGCTGTGTGGCTGAAGAAAGTGTAACCTGTGTGCAAGAAAATGGAAATGAAGGTTTTATTTAGCTTTTTAGACATTGCTTCAGAAACAAAGATTATTTTCCTGTTAATCATTCTTGAAAACTACTGAATGTGGGAAAGTCATCAGTGAGTAGATTGTGTGTAATGGTTGTGAATATGCTGCTTAAATGATTTCAGTTGATTTGTTCTTCCAGGCCCAGTGTATTCAGAAAATTAAATGCAAAAAGCTTTCAGAGAACTTTCAGTATAGAAATTTAATTCCAGTTTAATATAAATACAGTTAACTATTACTTTAAAAGGAGAAAGACTAAAACATTCTTATGTTTCAGAGCTGTTCAACCTTCAAATATTTAATAGTTGCAGTTTAGGAGAATGAGGTGTATTCTGGTATAGTTCAGTCTGTCATTTTCTACTGTGGAAGAACCTGGTTTTCTGTGCAGAAATTACTTCTAAGATGGTGGTGGTTGTTTTTAAATCTGGAACTTGAAGGAGTTGTAAATAAATACGATGTGCTGTTGTACTTCTTTCTTTAGAATCTAAAAGATGGAACTAACTGGGAACAAAATGAAGAAATACCTCGTCTGCCAGGAGAGACTAGAGTTACAGGTATGAAGCTATGTAGCTGCCTAGTGCAGTGTGTGTTCAGGAGTCTGCCATATACGTGTCTTACGTATGGCATATATTTATCTTACTGGATTGTTTCATAATTTGGACTACTTTGGGCTGGGTGTGGGTGTAAGTCTTGCTAAAGTGGCATGCATTTTTTTAATTGTGGTGTCGACTTTTTATTAGTAATCACAAATAACTTTTTAAGTCTGAAATCTTTGTTTGAATACATGGTAGATCCTCCGATACAAAGAAATGGCAAGTGAAGATCTGTCATAACTGTACAGACCAGGTAGCACATGTCTAGTAACGAGAGCTACTCCAAGCTTTCCAAAGTCAAGAGAATTCTACCCACTATGTATTGGCATCTTGTGTAGTGAACCTTAGCCCAAACTGACTACCCTAAGTACAGTCTTGTGCTTCCTTGACCCAACATGGCATGCATGTAGCTACTATGCACTTGTTAGCTTTTACATGCAGTGGTGTTGTAGCATAAGGAGGATTGTGTACAGTGGTTTGATGGAGGCTCTTCCTGGGATAGAATCTTCCACTGATGGAAATTTGTGTTGGGATATCAGAATGCAATGGAAGTGGTCTGTTTAATTTGTAAAGCTTCTCCTTCCCCCCTTCCCAGGATTTGTTAGGTGGGTTTGTAAAGAAGATTGGCTGAAGTGGAACAAAAGTGGTGATTCAGAGGAAGTAGTTATATTATTAATGAGGAAAGTTGTGGGGAAGGCACGAGGGAGAGTGCGTGGGATTAAGATGAATGTTTGATATGAACCTTATGAAAATTGTGCTTTGGGGCAGCACGCTGGAAAGGGCATGCTTGTTGTGGAAGGCAGATAAATGGATTGGGCTAAAGAAACAAGTGGACAGGGAGAAATAGGTGGTTTGTAGTGCTTCACTTAAGTTTAATGGCATTGCTTCAGTTAAATCTTCCTGTTTTGAGTAGCATGTGTTAGTACTCATTTTGTTACTGCCCTTGCTGAAACAGTGCTGATGGCCCTCCTGTATTTGATTACTTCAAATTGAAATACAATGTTTCTCTTCAGGATGGTGAGTTCCCTAAACACTTTAAAGCTGGAACTACTACTTTAACGCAGAATTGGTTACAGAGCACTGAAAGATGTAATGGTATCAAATAGTGTATTTGTTCTGTGATAGTGAATAGATTGGTTTAGTAAACACAGAGAGGACTTAAATCTACTCGCTGTGTGTCCTGCCCTCTCCTACATAGTGCTGAGAAGAACACAAACATAAATAGAGAAGGCTGCTGAAATGTGCTGATTTAATTTGGACAAGTGTAATATATGAAACTTCCACATTTTCTTAATTCAAGTGCTTAAATTCAGATTTACTGCTTTCTAAATTCATTTGAGTGCAGCTCTCTTTTTATTTTACTGCTACTTAACTAATGCTGTCCTTAGCTCTGATTTTTTTTTTATTTTTTTATTTTTTGCAATCTCTAAGAAATGCTGCATTTCTTACAGACAAGGAAGTTATTTATATGTGTCCATTTAATGGCCCTGTTAAAGGAAGAGTGTACATCACAAATTACAGGCTGTACCTAAGAAGTGTGGAAAATGTGAGTAATATGCCACAATTACTTCTGTGGGATGAATTGGCTTTAACCCCCTTCCCTTCACCACCACTGCCTTTGATGTATTTTGTGACCAGTTCATTTGTTTTAGTTTTGGCACACGCATGCTTGTGGAATTGCATGGGAGGCTTTTTACTTGAAGTGGTCTGTAATGTTTGTAATAACCGTATCTTAACTGTGTAATGACTAAATAGTAATTGCCTTTGTGCCACTGTGAAATCCATATTAAAATGGAAGTTCTTTAAATGTGTTGTAAAAATGTGGGTTTGCCTGGTAAAATTGCAGTTTAATCACACCGAACTGATACCTTTATCTTTTGCCTGTTGGAGCTCTTTTTGATAGCTGTTCCTTTCGCACTTATTCTGTGATAGATCAAGAGCAGCAACTAATGATGTGCAATAGCTCTTGAAATGCTTATCAGTAAACCGAGGTTTTGATTGTCCTTCCTGTTGGAAAAGAAAAATAGTTTGATTGGTAGAACCTCACGTGGGTGCTGGGAGTGGTAGTGCGTTTGATAAGCAGAGACATGAAAGAATAAAATGTGCTTGTTACCTGTTTCGTAATTTATTTTTCTTAAATAAGATTTTAGGACTATTGAACTGAGGTCTTTCTGGTTGCAGCTAACTCTACTAGTAATACCTTTTTCATTTTGTTCTACTTTATTCTGCATATTGATAAAGCAGTCTGAGCAAGCAGAGGCATTCAGAAATACATAGCAGAACACGTATTTCAGAGTTTTGCCACCTTTGTTCCCTGCATACTGTATTAGGCATGAAGTATTTTTATTGAATGTTCAATTGGATGATGTTCAAACTGTGAAGTGACTGTACAGACTTCATAACATGTTGGCAGGGGACACTCAAACGCAGAAATGCACTTTTGCTTCCTATATGTATTTAATGTCTGCTTTCTGTTCTCGAATGTGTAGGAGCAGTTTGCTTCACTCTTCAGATTAATCTTTTCCTTACTTGAACTTTCCTTGCAGGATCCAGTTGTAGTGTTGAATGTTCCATTGGGCGTAATTTCAAGGATTGAAAAAATGGGAGGGGCTTCCAGCAGAGGAGAGAACTCTTATGGATTAGATATAACCTGTAAAGTAAGACTTTCCAATAATTCAATAGGAAATGAAATCTGAAGATTCCGTTTCTCACTGCTTACCTATTCATAGGAATTAAAATACAAATTCCCCACAGCTAAATATAAAAAGAGATTTTTGGAACTGAGGAGGGAAATACCTGTTGTATAAAGGGCTGTCCTCTGTGTGTGAGGAGAGGGATTGGACTTCCTTTCTGAATCACTAACTGATGATAGGTGTTGCACAGCAGCAGTGTTGTAGGGCTTTATTCCTGCATTGCCTCATTATTTCATTTGTTCTGTAAGTAATTTTTTTATAATCCTAAAATCTTTTTGGAGAACACCTCTGATGGGGGTTCTGTAAGGTGTAAAGGCAGTGAAAAGCCTTAGTAACACAAAAAAATTATGTCACCATAAAAAAAATATGGTCACTGGGGGGTTCCCAGTGGATAATTTGGGATTCTTTGACTCATTAATAGAGTATGTATACACATTTGATTCTTTAGTTAATGCACAGATTGCTTATTTTTGACATTAGTGATGATAAAATAGCTAGGGAGAATGTAGTCTAGACAGATAATTGGCAAATTTTCATTTTGAAAACATAGAGTAATTCCCATCCTGCAAATACTCAATAGCTCAGGAGACTTTTTAGTGAATCAGATACAGTCATTTTTGATGGCTTTGTGACAAAGCAATGTTTGCATTGCAGAGTGTGGTACTGCTTTATTTGTAGAATTCTTATGCTCTATTTTATTTTGTGGGATAAGAGATAAAACTGAACACTCACAATGGCTTGAGGTGTGTTGCAAGCAGATTCTAAATCATGCTTAGTGAATAATATAGCATTTGTATGTCATAAAAATATCTTGCTGCTTTCGTTCACTTAGAAGATAATGCCTTTGTTTCAGGACATGAGAAATTTACGGTTTGCATTAAAACAAGAAGGGCACAGTAGAAGAGATATATTCGAAGTCCTCACAAAATATGCTTTTCCCCAGTCACATAACTTGGTAAGTTACATCATTTATGCCGTTGAGTTGTTTTAATGCAGCGTTCTTGCCAAGTAACTGTTTGACCCACTAATGGACATCATGGTTGCTTAAAAAGCATAACCACAATCTGCATAAACTAAAGAGTTAATGTTTATATTTTGTACATTTACAACACTTAGATCTACATATTTATAAAATTGTGTTATATGCTATATGTCAGGTAAACTGTTGAATACTTATGATCCATATGGATTTCATTTCTTAGAGATTGCAAGTTATCCTCCCTAATTAGGAAATGCAGTAGTACATGCCTTGATTTCTTGAAAATGTTTGATTTTTGGGGAGCCTCCAAAGCCACGATAAATATGAATAACCGAGAGTTTTACTTCAGAAAAAAGAGACATGTTAAGACAACACTTGTTTTATTGATGAAACTGATAAAAATAGAACAGGCAGCTAATATAGTAATGAATTTACAGATTTTTTTCAGGTTAAAAGATGATCTAACGAAAGGAATTGAATGACAATGATAACTAACCATTATCTTCTGTTTCTATGCCAAAATCTGTGTATTGTGCTTGGTGTGGATAATTTTGACAGCTCTTCATTCTTCATTTTGTCTGTTGTAAAATTCAGTTTATGCTTCATTGGGATGATTTCATTTAGAATAATTGAGTAACTGCTCACAAAATGGTAGAGGGTTCTGCTATGAATCTTTAAGAACTTTGTGCAGAGAATTGTTGAGTCTGAGGCTGCAGCAAGAATGTTATTTCCTTCTCTGAAGATACATGTCAATCAGTAGGCTATACTCTATACACATTTAATTCTTTGAAACTTTTTTGCAGAAAATGAGCATTTTATATGCAAACAGTCTGGAATGAATAAGGAAAAATAAATGCTTTTGGTTATAACATTCCATAATGTTAATGGATAGGTCTCAAGAAATGAAACATTTCTACGTTTGGGTAGGTGTGAGGAGTTCTACAACAGGCTTCTTTGTGAGTACAGGAAGCAAATATATCGCTGACTACTGCTGGCGTTTTTTTGCATCTTACAGTATGAGAGAATGATTGAAAGCATAACAGGATATATGGACTTTGAAAGAATGATGGAAAAGAGAAAGCTATATGTAGAAAAATTATAGAGAAGTTTGTGTCAAGAGGGGCTTCTGTTGCAAATAGGGCTGTAGATAAGGGTATCCTGGGCACAGTCAAGCTTAGTCTTGAATTTTTCTTGTGGGGTAGGTTCTGGCATGTCTCTGGACAGTCTCATTCCATATTTGATCTCATGGTGAAGAATTCTGTTCCTCCTTACATTGAGGACCAGTATGGAGTTGTATGTAATGCATATGGACAAATTAAGTTGTAACCAATTTAGAAAAGTCCCTTGTGGTTTATTTTTATGGTGTACAATCCAACTACAGGGCTTGAATAACATGGTAATGACATTTGGACTTGTATGAGGTTTTGTCACCTCAGCTCTGGTGTTCCTGTCTAGCAATGGTTGTGAGTAATATGGGGAGTAGTGCACTTCCTGCTTTATTGTTGCACCTGTTGAGCATAGTACAGCTCATCATTACATGGCCTTGCCCATTCTGAATGTAACTTGCCAATAGAAGTTACACTGAATAAAGAAATGCTCAGTCAAGGCAGAGGTAGTGTTGCCTTCCAATTCAGCAAAGGACAAAACTGGGGAAGATATGGCTGTACTTTATATCTCTTGGCTATGTTTGGAGCAGGGTATAACCATTAGAAATTATGATTACTTTGGAGTGAAATAAAGTAAACCTATGCTGTATCATGAAGTTGCACCTTCCCTGATTTTCTAATGTCACAAAGTGAATAAAAACTTTAAAATGAGCTAAGCAAGTGTGTGATATTTTTGGTGTGCTTTCACCATATTGCAGCAAGCAGTTTAAATTGATCCTGCCAAAGGTGTGTATTTTTGCCTGGTTGTTCATCCCTGCCTTGGCTTTCCTTGCGTGAGTTTGAGGCTCTATGATGAACCAGATAGGGGATTAAAGAGACTAAAGCAAAGTAAAAAAAACAAAGTAAAAAAAATAAAACGAACAAAAAGTGTTACCCTGAGTTGTTTCCTGTCTTGTCAGCCCAGTGTGAGGATGGAGTTGAGGCATCTGTGGCTGGTTGTGAATGAAGGGTAATGATGGGACTGCCTCTTTCAGTGACTGGTTTAGAACAAGGTTTCACTGTCTTAATTTGACAGTATGTCTGAGCTGTGCATGCCTGCCTTTTCCTTTGAATGTAGGCTAACACTCTGACCATGCAGCCAGCTCCATCAGGGAAGTCTTTTTATAAAGAACATGCTGTGGCTTCACATGACAGCTGGGTAAAGATGACAGCCTCCTGCTACTTGTATGCTCAGCTCTTTTTATTTTTCTGGTCTCCTTCTCTCTACCTTCCAGCCATGTAGTTAATTATTCCTCTTGTACCAAATCGATAGTTGTATAATTGCCAAGTAAGCCAATGCAGCTCACTTACCAAGCACAAAATATTCTGTTTTCTGAGTTAGGCTTGTGACACTTTTAACAATTTGAGGAGACCAGGTTTGAAATGCACCAGAACCAGTGCAAAAGAGGGCATGTGTGTGGAATAGGGAGCAGGCAGGAGAGAAAGCAGAGGGATGTCCTATTTTTATCAGTGTTAAACAGGTAATTTTGCTCAGACTGCCTTGTGGAACTGTATCCTTGATCTTCAGCTGGTTCAGCGGTACTGATGCTTGTGCAGCTTTGTGGTGGAAAGCAAGCATCACTGGGACAATAAAGGTCTAAGCCTTCAGTGCTGTGATTTTTGTCTGTGCTTTTATATTTTGTGTCAGATTTTTACCTGACCGGTTTTTCTATGTAGTGGAACTATGCATATCCTTACTGCTGATCCTAAGCAAGAGCTTTTAGGGATGCCTCACTAAATTTTCTTCGTGTTCTACTGTTGTCTGACAAATAGACGGTAAACGCAGCCCAAAACATTATTTCTCAGTAGAGTGTACGTACTGTTTTCAAGATTTTTCTCTATCATGGTATGAACAGCAGTGTTTGAAAGCCTGTAATAAATCACAGGTCTGTTTGCAACTGTTTGTTAGTTTCTCAACATTGTCCTGTGTGCTTGCTTCCAGAAGCTAATTCTTGTCTCTCTCCAGTTTGAGCATAGTTTAGTTTCAGATCCCCTGGGATCAATAACATGATGTAAAAATCTGACTGGCAGCTTAGTTGATGTGGAACAAACAGCATAATACTTTGTTGCACTTACAGACTTGTGCTAATTGGCAGAAAATTGTTGATGAATGGTTTCTTTTTTAAAGTTTGGGTTTTGTTTTTTATTGAAGCCAACAAAACAAAAAAAATCCCCCCCCAAATGTTGTAGTGCCCCACAAAAGATGAGATATATTTAGTCTCTGTAGTTTAGCTTCTGCATAGCAGCTGCTTCACTTCCTGATCTTATCTTGAAACTACACATCATTTTCATAAGATTATTTGCCACCATCATACCTGTGTGATATATGTATTTATTTCTAACCATGATAGCTCTGTGGGAATGCCAGTTTTGGTGAGACACACTGGCAGTCATGCTGTCTTCGACCTCTCCTGCTCCCGATGTACCTAGTTATCCTGATAAAGTATGTGAGAGTCAGATTATGCCAGTGTTGTCATTGGATCTATAAAGATGATCTTAGATGGCAGTGAAGTCTGGCATACATACCTGTCCAATGGAGAACTTGATTTTGCAAAAAGCATTTTGACTTGGGGCTTCATTCTGAATGACTTCTGTCAATCTCTGTGCAATAATGGTATAAGGTTACCATGTTCACAAATGATCACAAGTTAATTATGTAAATACTGTGATGTCTGATCTTAGCTTTCAGGCAAACAACTGGCTGAGTTGCAGTAATGGCATATTAAAGGCAAGGATAATGGTATCTTTAGTTTTAAACACACTGAGAAACTGACAGCCTTTTCTACAGAGTAAAAGCTTAGTGATTTATAATATATGAAAAGCATCAACCAGTAAGTTAGACATAGAAAAAACAATTTTCTTTGCATGTTTGTAAGACCCTGTCGTAGTTCTGCTGCTTTCTTCTTTTGTAATGCATAAGGGTTGGGCAAATATTTAATAAATTGTATATATATATATATATGCTGAAGTAGCATGTGTATTTATCTACTGTGATTCCATAAGTAGAGTAAATATGTAACCATTTGTAAATAGACTGCTTGCCAAACTGTGTTGTCAGATTGCAGCTGCTCTCTCCTTTATCTCACAGAACTACATTGTGTTGTGAGCAACCAGTGTATCGCATACCATTTTTCTGTGCAAAATGGTAATGATAAATTGATAGTCAAAGGCAAGTACTTAATCTGTAGGAAGACTGAAAAAGAGACTGCGTGTGTTGAAATTGCAGGTTAACACCTGCATTTTCAAAATCACTGCAAGGAAGTAAACAGAATTATTTGCACAGTGAAGCATAAAAAACAGCTCACCAAAAACATTGCAATATTTTAAAGCCTTTTCTGAAGTGAAGCAGTAGCCTTCTGCTTTTAGACTATGGATCTGCAATAAAAACCTGACTTCCGTTCCATGCAAAGAGGCTTTAATTTGCTTTTGCAAAAATCCTAACTGGTTATTATGAATCTCACTTGATTTTACGAACTACAGGTACTGATAAATCACAAGCCTTGCGCCCCATAAGCTTTCTGAGTGGTGGTTTACTATACTTCTTTTTTTCTTACCTCTTTAGTGCTTTCCTTGATTTATTTTTTCCATAGCAGTTGGAAAGAATTTGGAGCTGATTTCTAGATGGACTAATAGGAATTGTTGGGCTTCCATCAGACATGGAAGTCTGAACCTGAATATCTCTTGTGTGCAGGCTTTACGTTTTTAGATTTCCACCCATGCTTATTTAATTCAGACACATCTAATGAAGCTGCAGTTGGTATAATAATTCCTGGGAAAATAAGTGGGGTGCAATAGGAGCTGTGGAGAAGTGCTTTTCATTGAAGAGGCAGAATTAATGACAGTCTGAGGGAACAGAATTTCTTGTGTGGAGGAAAGAAATGACTATAAGTTAGGTTGGAGGCTCAGAGTACCTAAAGTATTGTTCGGAGAGAAGGAGAGTTTAGGCGGAATATGCCATAGATACGGAGGGATGGAAAGGTGGGTGGAAGCATTTTTTGCCACCTTTTGTGTGGTGGCCAACTTTCTACTATACTTTGGTATTTGAAAGGCTTGTCTGCGTGCACGATGGTGCACTGAGAGAGGCAGCCAGGGCTTTTCTCTTTGTGGAGCCCTATGATTCCTATAGCTGGTTATGTAGTTTGCGTCTCTGACCTTCTGCTCTCTGCACTCTGAAGGATATAAATACACCCAGGTAGTCCATACGAAATGCCTGCAGGTAGTGAAATGACTTCCTTGTTTTCATCCTGACACAATAATTGTGTCTGAGGGGCATGAATACAAAGAAACCTGTATGTACAAAAAGCTATGCTGTGTATTTTTACTAGGGTAGCGCCTGAAATTTTACCTCAAGTGATATGCGAACAGTGTATTGTGAATGGCATATTTTCTTCCCATAATTTTTCTTCCCGTTTGCCTGCTGCGCTGTAGAATTGCATTCAGTTTATGTGCACTTTGAGAGGTAAGCTTCATCAATGTTAAGTTAAATCAGGACATACAGTTACATACTGTGCTTTATCCGTAACCTTGGGTTATTTAGGGTGAAAGTAGAAATATGTGGGTCATTAGTGCAGATGTGAAGCTTACCTGAACTATAATAAATGCTTTCTGGGATCAAAACATGTATTTATCACATGGACAGACCCAGTTATAATGAACAAATCTATTTGGTTTGCTATCAGAATAATAGAAACTCCAACAAATAAATGTTATTTAATAGAAATTACTTTATGTTGCTCATATCGCATTTTTTCTATGAAAAATGTGCAAATGTGTGCTAAATATGGTTTGTACTGACGCAAGTAAGAAAATACAATTGTATCCAAGCGTATATCTTATGTTTGCTAAAGTGTCAGTTTCTCAGTATTAAAATGGGGTTGCTTGTTACACTGCAGTTAAACTGTGGTTTAGAACTGTGAAAGGAGTATAAATGTATATGGAGTTTTAAACGCACATTCTGCTACTCTGACTTTTCTACTGTCTCATGTTGGAACGCATAGAAGGATACAAATTTTACTTACGGCTACCAATCTGCTTAAGTGGATATGAATTTATGAAAAACTTAGGTTGAGAAATTGCTTTAAGCTGTGTATTGTTGAATGGAACCATGCTATGGTTGTCAGAGTGGGAAAGGAAGCATTTTTACTCTTCAAAACTGCTTTATATATTGCCTTGTGTATTTTGTTGTGAGAGACAGGTCTAAGGTAGGCTGGAGATGTTGCTGTGCTTCAGACTCTAGTATTTATCCTGGACTAAAGCTCAGGCTATCCTCAAAGAATATTTTCAAAACTTGACAAAACAAGCCTTAAGTGAAAGGCCATTAGGAGTGCTGGGGCAGGATTCAGATCTTTAATCTCTTCTGTACAATGAGTAAGACTTCTAGTAGTAACCACACTAACTGTACAGTCTGTACCCAGTGTGCACATAGAACTGTGTATAATTTGTTTGTTATAATTCAGTCAACTCTTGCAGGAGAAAAGTAATTTTTAGTCTTCAGGTTTTTATATACTGCTCACTTTTAACTAATGTTCTTGTTGGAGTATACTTGGAAGAGCTTTCTATGAATTGCTTGTATAAAAATCTAAGCCCAAGTTTTGCTCCATACACCTTTTCCTTCATTGTAGTCTCCTGTTACTCGTTAGGCTGCAGATTTTTGCTGAGTTGATTCATTTCCTTGAGCAATATAGGAAGAATTTGAAGAATGAAGGCATTCACTACCATGAATGTCAACAGAGCTGATGAAGCATAATTGTCAGCTTTAATAGCTGTGGGTTATGTGACTGAAAGCTTTTGCAGCAGATGTGGTAAAGCTGCTGTAGCAGTGTTTTAAGTGAAACATACTTTACGTAGTAGGAAATTATTCTTTCAGAAAGAATTTTGTTCATCTCCTCCTCACGCCTAGTAAATTTATCCCTGTTTTTTAAAAAGGTGAAAACAAAATACACTTTTCCATCTGGATTCTTGTGGGTTATTTTGTGGGTTACATGAACAACATAGCTGCCACTTGTTTCTTTCTAGTTTGGAGGAGCACCCTCTTTATCAGTAAAATCTCCTATGAAATAGTACACTGTAATAAACTTGTATTGCTTAAGCTGGGTAGTTTTTAAGTTCTCGCATGGGATTTGCCGTGTCAAATAATATATTCCTGCCTTTGAGACATCTTTTAAATGATCTGTTAGGATTCCTGTGTTTGTTTTCTACTGTGATAAGATTCTCTTTTGTCTCTGATTCCTTGGTGAATTCTTAGCATAGTTGCTCTTCAGGATATGGCAAATTCCTATGAGGAGGAGGGGATGGTTTTTGTGTGTAGCTGTTTATTCGCAGTTCAGCGAATCACTTGCATCTACTGCTTTAGATAGCGATATTTCTATTTTGCTGTATTCCTAGTTTGCAAAAACTTTTTCAGTTTTTTTTTATTTAACTTCGCATACTTGCATGTACTTCTGATGGAATATTTTTTTTTTTCTGATACAGTTGATGTCCACCTCTTTACTTTTCCTTTCTAAATCTCTCCCTCCATCCCACTTGATAGTAGGGTTTTTTTAGGCAAAAGAATCAGTAATGCTTACTTACTCTGAGGGCCTACTACTTTAAAAATGGTGAAGAGGTTCAGAAAACACAACTTGGGAATGCATTGTTCACTTCTGCAAACTTGCCAGTGAATGTACTTGCTCTAAAATACTGATTTAATATAAAAATCTGGTTTCTAGAAACTAGTGGGATAAAGTATATTGTGTGAGCAGTGATATGCTGTTAAAATGCTTGTTGATTTGAAACACATGAGGGGAAAACCCCTCCTTCTGGAGGGATTCAGTTTTGTGGTGTTGTGATTAGAGCTGTTTACTGTTTAAACCGTTGTACCATATTAGGCTAAACAGAATTGCCTCGAGCCCTTAAGGTCTGCCCGCATAAGTTCTTAAGAAACCTCTGTCTTAGCGTGTGGTGCACTTGGGAAGCATTGCCATACCTCAGTAGATGTAACCATGACACCTTAGAAACATGGTTATGGGGCATCTTCTTGCTCGTCAGGTTTTCTGCATTTCTGCTTAGTTCAGAAAAGCAGAAATGCAGAAAATGGTTGCCTTTGAAAATGATGTATATTTGGGATGTTAAGTTTTACCCTCCAGTTTCTTCTTTTAATGTCTTTGAATAGCTAGGAGACTTTCAGCTTTTCTGTCATAAGCAAGCTATGATGATCTCTGGAATGCTCTCTGCTCTGGCTGTTGTTGCTTAATTAGCTCAGGACAACATATTCTTTTCTGTAACAACTTAGTTTCATACTCCAGTTGGCATCTGAAGAATTTGTAAGCCACCAAAATCCATTTTCTCAATGAAGGAGATTCTTGAAATAAACATTTCTGCTTTCGTCATGAACTATAAAAACCAAGGAAGAACTGGGGTTAGTTAGGTAATAGAGCCCACTTGGAGTTGGTTGAAAGGAAAAGGAAGCTAAAAGGTATGAGAAAGTTATTGGAATCCTGGGTGAGGATGCTGAGTCTTGAGAGTGAGCAATAAAGCAAGAGAAAAGTAAATAGTGTAACCTGTTAACATATTTTTGTATCACTTTTGGTGGCAACTTTTTAATTTTTATGGAATTTTATGGTAACCTGGATTCCTTTTAGTAAGGGTCAGTTGGGGAGGGGATGCAGAAAGAAGGCTGCTTCCTACTGGTAGCAAATAGAAATTAAAATATTTTTCAATTTAGCTTTCAATGTAGCATCTAGTATTTTATATAGTAATTGCAGATTCACCTATTGTCACTTCTTGTTTCAACTCTTGTCACATTTTCATTATTTCATTGCAGATCTGTATTGTTTGTTCTTGCTCTTTGCTTTACAATCTTACACATACCAAATTTAAAGGGAGAGAACGAGGGTGGTGTGGAAGTGTTTTGTGGCAGGCATTAGGTTATACCTAATGATGATGATGAGCTGTCATATTTGTCGCTTTCAGTCAGAGCTTGGTGTAGTAAGTTTCCTTTACATCCTACAGCTTTTTTTTGCATTTGTGAATGAAGAAAAGTTTTCTGAAAATGGATGGATGGTGTACAGGCCGATGTCTGAATACAGGAGACAGGTGAGTTATCAAAGTTGCTGTTGCCTGATGCTTTCCTATCTGACAACTGACATAGAGGAATTATTGTTTGTACATTTCTCTTATGAGCTCCTTTATGGGGGGAGCCGAGAATGGGAGAAGATGGGAATACAGTTTGAAAAAGAAAATAAAGAAAAATAAACCACTGGAAGCTTTAAAAAAAAAAAAAAAATTAGAATGTCACAGGAAGGTAGTTCTTGCTTTTTGAAGGAAGCTATTGATACCTCTTACAATGTGCCACTGTTAAATGAGCAGGGGACAGGGAGAATGTGCCAAATATGCAACTACAGTGTCCTAAATATAGGTTTGATTTGGTCTGCACCCTCCTAAAGTGAAGGAGGGGAGCAGATTATTTTAGAAACAGCATTGCTTTACAGAAGTTATTTATGTGTCTGTCTGTATTCTACCTTGCTCTTTAGGTGATTTCAGAAACATGTCAATGAAAGAGGATGATATATTTAACTTTAAAATGTCATTTAGGCTATTTATTTTTGCTTTAAATATTACTTTTTCTTTTAAGCAAACAATAAGGACTACCTTAGATGTTTTTGTCCCACCATAGTTTTCTGGTTTGACATTTATATGTCTAAGATTCAAAAAAGATAATATATAAACGTCCACATGTGCATGAACCCCACTGTGCATGTGTAGAGGGCTTATCAGTCTTTCTCGGTTTCCTGGCTTCTGTTTATGAAATGCCTTACTGAGCAGACTGCAGCTAAAAGTTCTTGTTTCTCCATAAGTAAGCTACCCTGAATCTTATTTCTAACCTAAAGCTAATATGAGGCTACAGGGAGGAAGGGTTGAGGTGAGACTTCTTCCCCGTCTTCTCAGAACCATAGTTTCTTTTCAGCAAAGGAAAATGGAAAGGCAGAGCTTTGAGGGAGGAGAGAAGGTGATTTTGTTTCCTCAATCCCACAGTTAAAGAAATACTTCTGCTGGTTTTAGTCACTGCTTTGAAACTTGTTGCAAGAATAGATTTGTGTGTAATAAGAATAGACCTGTGTATGTAAGAGCATGAGAGATAGTTGTTTAAAGCTGTGAATCCCATCAGTAATGAGATGTTTTGTGTGGTTTTGTAATATTCTTTTTCTTCTATTGTTTTGAAACTGTGCTATAGTTTAATTAAATTGGTAGGTTGTTGCCACCATGTGGCCATAATGTCATGTAAAATTCAAGAGCAGGGTTATCTCTGCAGCTGAAAGTACATTGAAAAAACTTTGTGTTATGTTTTAGGGACTGCCTAATGATCGGTGGCGAGTAAGTTTTATTAATGAACATTATGGGCTGTGTGACACATATCCATCACTCTTGGTAGTGCCATATAATGCAACAGATGATGATCTCAAGAAAGTTGCTGCCTTTAGGTCTCGAAATAGAATCCCGGTGAGTATTATGAGATGAAAGCTCCCTTGCGGTGTATCTAGTTTTAAGTATGCATCCAAACAGTATTTTGCTGAGCACGACAGAGGATGCTTTTTTGGAAGTGGTTACAGCAAAAGAGTTTTGATTGGCTGGTGGTTTTTGCTGCTTGAAACTAGTGTCTTGGCCAAGCCACAGTTTTGTTTCCCCCCTGCAACAATCTCCCATTCCAACTTGGTTGGTTTTAACTTGACTTTTCTATGCTAGCATTGCAGATTCCCTTTTCTTAATGAAGTATGAGCCTCAGACTGCCATCTGTACTAGTTTATTGACTATTGTTGGATACACGTAAAATGTGATCGCAACTGTTTTCCTCCTGTAAGCAAACCACATGGCATTTAAACATAGTTCCAATGATCAGTCCTAAAATAAGATCTCATGCGTAGTCTGTGGAGTGAGTTCTTGGGCTTTTTAGGCCTTTAAACTGGGATGTGCAATTTAAGATAAACCTATTTGACATTTTGGGTATATTGCTGTAACTAAAATTCTTTGAGGTGAGAGAATTTTTATGTATCGGCTCCTTACAGCACTACAGAAAATACTAGTTTGTGTCATAATACAATCTGCTTTAACTAGTATTTCCATTTGGCAAACTCGAAGAGGTGCTAGATTCTTAGCCAGTATCAGAAAGCTGCCTTGAATCTCACTTAATTTCAAACAGATGCAAAACGCAATATAATAAATATTTATTAGATATGGTATTCACTAACTAGTGAATCCCATCTCTAGAATAGGCTAGGCCTGTAATTACGCATTTACTATATATGTACACACATGTATGTATAATATATAATGTGTATAAAATATATATGTTTTATATATATAGTGGGTGCATAAGTTCTTATAACTGGGCTGTATCTTCTCAGTCATCTAAAAATTCATGACAGGGCTTTTGTGTGGCTGTACCTGTGAGAGTCATTTCCTTGGTAATAGTAATTTTATTCTTGTCAAGAAATAACCAGTCATGCTCACCCCCACACACACTGGCAGGTCTCATGTCTGGATATTTCCCTGGGCAGCTCACTACCACTTGTTTCTGGTAAGTGTCCTCTGTCTCTTAGGAACAAGAAGGGCAGCATGTGCTTTGCTCCAGAGCCTCCTCTTTGTAAAGAGGGCTGAGGAACAAACTGTGCTTTAAAGAGAAGGTTAAACATTCAAGATAGTGCAGAAAGCTTCAACTTTCCTTCTTTGCCTAAAAAAAGGAAAAGTTCTACAAGAACTGGAGCAGCTTAGTCATAGTTTCTACAATGAGTTCATTCTTCTGAATTACTAGTCTCAGCAGACATTGCTGTGTTTGTTTCCAGTTTGCTTTTCAGAATTATTTGTGTAACCTAAAACTTGTAGGAAAATATTAAAATACTCTGGATTACATAGGTTAGTATAATTCCAGTAAGAGTTAAATGTGTAAAAGAATGGACTCTTTTATTATTAAATTTTATGAGCCTAAAGTGGAAGCAGTTGACATGTCTGGGGATTATCTTTTGAAGAAATAAAGTAATTGTTAATTTTCAGGCTATCTATTTTAAAGAATAAATTGGATTCTGAAGTTATTAGAAGAAATACATTTTATTAAAAATTACTGTGTTTTTGACATGTGAATAGGTTCTGTCATGGATTCATCCAGAGACTCAAGCTGTTATTATGCGCTGCAGTCAACCCCTTGTTGGAATGAGTGGCAAGCGGAATAAAGATGATGAAAGATACCTTGATATCATCAGGGAGGCCAATGGGCAAATCTCAAAACTGACCATCTATGATGCTAGGCCCAATGTGAATGCTGTTGCAAACAAGGTAAACAGATGCTTATCATCATATTTGTGAAAGAAGGTGGGGAGAAGACTGAGTTTGAAGTTTTCTGTGAGGAGGTTTTTGGGAACATTAATAATACAGATAATTTTACATAATCAAATATATATTTGCATAATCAAATACTATGGCTCAAGGCCATGAAAGACCTGGCAGCTTTGAGAATACTGCAGCATCTGAGGAAGGACATAGCACAGAATAGAGATACTATGCTACTATACAGAAATGTAGGTGGTACTAAAGAGGAAAGGCTATACTGTACTTCAGCTTATTGTCTGATGTGTAGCTGGTGGCATAATGGCTTATAAAGGCAAAATTTATTTATCACAATTCATGGCATGACAAGTTTTTGTTATCTGCAGGAAATGCTGTGATTTTGCAGCTCTCTGAGGCTGAGGGACCTGGAATTGTTTAGCTCGGTGAAAAAGAGATTCAGGGGAGACGTTATTGTTCTCTACAACTATGTGAAAGGAGGATGGAGTGAGGTGGGGGTTGATTGGTTCTCCCAAGTAACCAGTAACCATAGGACAAGAGGAAACTGTGACAGGGGAGGTTTAGGTTGGATATTAGGAGCAATTTCTTCCCCAGAAGGGTTATCACACATTGGAACAGGCTGCCCAGGGCAGTGGTTGAGGCACCATCCCTGGAGAAATGTAAAAGCTGTGCAAATGTGGCCCTTAGTGACATGGTTTAGTGGTGGACTTGGCAGTGCTGGCTTAACAGTTGGACTCGGTGATCTTAAAGGTCTTTTCCAGTATAAATAATTCTATGATCCTGCCTTTGGAAAATCTCATCAGTGGCACTGTGTCCTAAAATAGTGTGGGTTTCTGCTTACTTCTGTGACCAGGTACATCCTTTGCTGTGGTGGTGATTAAGTGCTTTGAGAGAGCAGCAGTAGTACAGACTTCTACTTATGTGGCTTTTTAATTTCTTAACATCTAAATACATGTTTAGCCTTTAGCAGTAAAAGTTAATGTTAGAAATGTAACTTTATACTTTAATGTTATTATGAACTTCTTAGAGGCAGAATCAAAGATTCTTGAACGTAATTCTTAAACGTAGCTTATTCTTAACACTTGAATTTAATTTTATGTATCCAAACATTTTTATCATTTTTTTCTAATTGTATATCAGTTCAGTTTTAGTAGTAAATAACCAGGCAGTTTAAACACAGGAAAGGAGGATTTTTTTTACTTATTTATTATTTAGTTTTATTTATTGGTGATGGTTTTTTTGGTAGCAAATTTGCACTGGTAAATCTGAGATTCTGCTCTTTTGAATTAGTGGTGTAAAGAAACAGACAAATCCTTTGAATTTTTTCCTAATTCTTAAGAAACAAAGAAATGAGCAGTTTTATCCCCTGGAAGTGGTGGTCTTTTATGTATTGAGTAATTGTTGTTTTGTGTGCTATAATTTACATTTTAATTTAACATTAATAATCTGTCTGGGAAGTCAGTTGGTTTCTTTTGTATTCAGAATCATGAGTTTGTTTAGTCTTTGGGAAAAGTGAACATAAATAAAGAAAAAAAATTGACATTGTAATGTCAGTTGGTCAAGAAAGGAACAAGGCTACCTGAAGTAGCCTTGTTCAGTGTCTTTCTGGCCATGTGCTGTACTTAATAAACTTTGTCCCTTTGGATAAACGAAAGCCCCCTGGCAATTCTTTGCCAGAATGTGCCCCTCCAAAGCTTGTATCCAAGACTGGTGTTTTACACAAGCAGCTGAAATTCCATATTGCCCAACTACAAAATAAAGTATAAATAAAATTCCCTTCTTGCTCCATTGAAAAGTTGCTATGTGAGTGCATATATACTAAAGTTCATTTTAGAAATGTTGTTTATAGGCAACTGGGGGAGGATATGAAAGTGAAGATGCATATCCCAATGCAGAACTTTTCTTCTTGGACATTCATAATATTCATGTCATGCGGGAATCTTTGAAGAAGTTGAAGGACATTGTTTATCCTAACGTGGAAGAATCACACTGGTTGTCAAGTCTGGAATCAACCCATTGGTTAGAACATATAAAGGTAACATTTTACTGTTTGTTTGAAATAACATTTGTCTAAATCTGTTGTATCAGACTTGTTTTCTTTGTTAGACTTTGCTATAGTCCCTATACGAAACACGTCAAACAACTTGGACTGCAAAACCAGTCTCACTGAGTGTTGGCTTTTTACCAACTTGTCTTAGAGTATGTTATGAGATCTCATTACTAAGCAACAGTAGGTAAAGTCAACATTTATCGTCTGCTTCAAGTCAAATGTCAGTCTTTAATAGAGGAATGCATTGTTATTCTGATTGTGTATTATGTGTGTGAGAACTGATTTATTTTGTTCTCTAGCAGAGCAGGACTTACAGGTAAGTGTCATTGTGAAGGGTTTGTAATTACTTTAGTTGTGAGTATGTATGTGACTGTTTTGTGAATAATGGTTTTGTACATAAATCTTGTAAAATTTGTAATTTCCATCTTGTGGAATAAAATACTAAAATAAAATACTAAAACTGGTAACTCGCCAGTGTTCTTACCAGTTGTCCTTTGAACCTTTTGCCTCAAGTACAGCTCTGCAAAAGAATTGAACATTATGTAAGGAATTCTACTTAATAAATTCTTAATTTTGTTCGTATTTGGAAAATAAACATTAAAATTGTACAAGTCCTTTTTAAAGGACATATTAAAATTGTACAAGTCCTTTTTCCAACAACTGAGACATTTCAAGTCATTTAGTTAAAAGAAGGGAGACAAATGAAAAACAGAATTTTTAGAATATATCCTATGGTAAATCTTCTCTTTCTTCAAAAAGCAGCTTATGTTCTTCAGTTTATCCAGGTTGCTGTTTTCTGTCCTATTTATTAAGAATTTGCTGTGAGATGAATTAGATCTTGCAACGGATTAGGGAACCAATCTGTCTGTCTGTTTTTATACAAGAAATTTACTTGATCTCCTAGAAAATTCTCTTCCAATTAGTACAGCATGCTCTTTAGGTCTTTTAATTGAAACACTAACAATTTAAATACTGTGTAGATACAAAGAAATCAGTTTATTTTTGTTAGAATGGTAATACTGATATGTGGTTGGTGTCTGTTCCTCTTTGCCAGCTTGTCTTGACAGGAGCTATTCAAGTGGCAGACAAGGTATCCTCAGGAAGGAGCTCTGTATTGGTTCACTGCAGCGATGGCTGGGACCGGACAGCCCAGCTAACATCACTGGCCATGCTGATGCTCGACAGCTACTACAGAACGATTGAAGGCTTTGAAGTCCTGGTGCAGAAAGAGTGGATAAGCTTTGGACACAAATTTGCATCGGTAAGAATTAGAAGATAATTGCCACAAATGCAACATTAACATTCTGAAAAGCTTTTAATGTTAAACTACTCATTGTGCTAATGTTTTATAATACTTATCATTACTTTAGAATTCTGATTTAAAACTTTTCTAGGTAGATCTGAGCAGAGGTTTTGTTTTAGACCTGTTTGGTTAATATTTTTTTACCATTCTTCCTCTGAGAGCTCATATTTTGTCCTTTGCAGCCTTTTAAAAGCACAGAATTGCTAGGGTCATATGTGGTTTTTGAGCAAAGAAAATGAGAAGGCACAAAAATTATGTCTTCCCAGCTTTTCAGAAGAAGGTCAAATAAGGCTGGGACATGAGGCTTCTCCCTCACCCTCCTTTTGGACTATTTTGAATCTTGTGAGAGGCAGATGCATCTGGCCAGTGCCTTTGAAGTGATATTTTAGCACTTCTTCCCAAATGCTCTAAACTTGTCATAATAGCTCTCAGGAGGCTGTCACTGGTAATGCTGGCTCTAGCTCTGTTGAGTTGTCTTCTGAATGCTTAGAAGGTTAAGTAAAATTGTCCATAGCAAGTCCTTAATACCCCTATCCACGTGTAATTCGAAGTTATGGGTGTTTGTGTTAAGAAACTTTCCATTCAAAACTTAGTGAACTTCTGTTAAATTTGGCAGCTAACCATTTAACCAGGATATCTATGTGGAGAACATCTACGGAGAGGAAATCTGTAGAGAAGCAGAATAGGTTGCCAGGGAGAGTGTGCTGGGGTATGTAACCATACGACAGAAGTTGGGAGCTTTACAAGACTCTTCCTTGTTCATGCTGAACCTTGTAATTAACACCAAGAAGTTTCCACACCTTCAGTAGAAGTTATTTGTACAGTTTGTCCCTAGTAGAATATACTAAAGATATTATTTAATATTGCTAAAACTGGGAAAATTGGCAATCTGGAAAATTAAAGAAATGGACAGATATGCCTATGTGTGTATTTCATGCCCACTTTACATTTGCAAGAGTGTCTCAGTAATTTGGAAATTCACGTATAGCTACTCGGCATGAAGCACTGCATGGCTTAAGTGAGCTTGTAGGCTGTGGCAGGCCTTGATCTGACATTGTGAAGGTGCTTTGAGGCTTGGTAGATTTGCATTTTGATTGTTGAGAGTAATATCTGCAGTAGTACATTTTTTTTTTTTTTGCATGCTTACCTGTAGTCTTCAAATAGTGATGTGTTACATGAACTTTAGAAGTATTCTGTCTTGGTACAAAACACTGACTTGACTTTTCATTCTATCGTGTATTTTACAAAATGTTATAGTCATGACACAGATAAAATCAGCTTTTATACCTAGGAGATTTGTAACCTAGCATATGTGTTGTACAAAGCTTAAAAAGACGCGTGTCTTTCACCACGATGAATAAATTCAAATCATCTATGGTTCTTTTCATTATACCATTAATTTTGCTTTGCGTAATCAAAGGAGCTTGTTATCTTTTAACAGATAATGTTTTCCACCTGCTAGTGAGGCAGGACTTTTACACACCTTCCAGATGACTAGCTCAGTCCACTGGTTCATCTCTGACAATGCAGCAGCAATAAGGGTGATTTAAATAGCTTGCCGTTGCTTAAACTGCTGTTTTATTTTCCTGACTTGCTCACTTGAGTAATAATCTTTGGAAATGGTTGAAGGCACTCTCCCTTAGCCATCTGCTGTTTTCTAGGTGTATATTTGGATTTGTTGTTTGGCTTATAGCGAAAGCAGTCCTTTTCTGGAGTTTTATAGAAGTAGTGGAGTCACCATCTCTGCAAGTATTTAAAAGATGTGTAAATGCGGCACTTAGTGACACGGTTTAGTGGTGGACTTGGAAGTGCTGGGTTAGTGGGTGGACTCAATGATCTTAAATGTCTTTTCCAACCTAAACAATTGTTTGATAAAAACTGGTAATGGAAGCAAAAAATACTGTGATCATACATGCAGTATTTTAGTTTAGTGAGTTGTAATAGTGAGGATTAGGCACTTCCGTGCATTTGACACTTCCTGAACCTCATCTCTGGAGCTGTTGTTGTTATGCCTTCCCTTAATCAGGGATTTGAAGAAGAATAGGTGTTTCTTATATTGTCTGGGTTAGAGCAAGGTTCATGTTTTCATGAACTTAACAAATAACTAAATAGTAGACTACTTAATAGTTCCTATGTATAATTTCTATCTAATGAAGTGTGCAATAAGTTTCCTTGTTGAAAAGGAATTCCCCTACCCCAGCTGTTCTATGTGTAGTGAACTTAATGCACTATCCAGATGATAGAATTGCTTGCTATGTGGAAAGTCTTACAATGCATTCTAGTATAAGAAATATGAGACAAATATAATTATAGATGGAGAATACTCAGACATCCTAAAACTGCTAACTATAGTGGAAGTGGAGGGACTTTCAGTCCTTACTTCAGACTTACTGAACACATGTATGGCTCTGTTAACAGATACCATGGATTTTTAAACCAGGAAAACTGGACAGGAGGGAGGCCAATTTGTTTGTGTTCCCTGTGGTGCCTTTTCTAGCCATTTGCTATTGCTGACTGAGTTCAGCTGTTATCAGTCCCTCATCTCCCCCTATTTCCTGCCGTTCAGTTCTATTATTCTAAACTATCTTGCAAGTCCTTGCACAGAGTAGCATACTGGTTTTATGATTTGTCACATCCTTAAGACATTAAGCTTGCTATCTTGCGGGCAGATAGGCAGTATCTTAGTTCAACATACATGATTGTCTTTCATCTCCTCCAGGTAAATACACTCAAGCAGGATTACAGAGCTAACAGAATCTCTTCTCTGAATCTCTTACCTGTTCTCAGCTTTCAAATGTGAAAAAGAAGCTTTTAACAAACCTGCTTCTTGTCTGTAGGGAGAATTCTTCTGTTGCTTTGGACTCTTCACAGAAGGTGGCTTACCCAAGCTTTGAAAATGTTGCATTATTTCTTTGTCAAGACCACTAATGTTAACTTTGAGCTCTTTCATGTTCTACCTCAGGGTGAATCTTTAGGTTGTGAGGCAGGGGAAGAGACTAACCTGTGTGGCTAGTTTGATCTAGGTTCTCTAGTGACTTATATACTTTGTCTTTTTTTGTAATCTAACTTGGATTTTGACACATAAATATAGTTTGAAACAAGGCTTGTTTACTTGCAAAGTAATGGATGCTTTAACAGTTCTGCTTATCCAATAACCAGGAGGTTTTTATAATGGAACCAATTATTCCTTTGGAATATTTCTCAGGCACCTTTGGAACAGCTTTGCAGTATTTCTGTATATCTGAATCTCTCCTCAGTGCAGTGACTAATTTTGAAATCATAAGAATAAGTTGCTCTATTACAGAAGTGTTAATATTCTACTGCAAAATAAGAAACCATGTCTGGCCATAAAATAGACTGTTTTGGTTAACAGGAGGCTGTATTGCTTCATTTCAGAGAATAGGCCATGGTGACAAAAATCATGCTGATGCAGACAGATCGCCCATCTTTCTCCAGTTCATTGATTGTGTGTGGCAGGTGTCCAAACAGGTATGTGTTGTTCTTCAGAAGGTAACATTAAGAGATTACTGAATTAAAAACATAGAGTTTTGTTTAAACAAAAGTATTTGCAGAGGATAGCATACCCCTCTGCTCTGATGCTGTAGCCAAAAAGCACGTTTTTACTTCTAAACCATACCATGTCAATGTATTTCCAAAACTGGTGTACAAGCTCTAGTTTTGTTGCATAATCTAGCATTGGCTATGCATGGAAGGCTTCTGTGTCTTGGATCTGGGCTTCTCAGAAACACGTGGAGAGATGTGACCCAGCAAAGTGCTTTTACCAGAATTGCATCCAGCTATCTCAGTAGGGTCTGTGTTTCACTTCACCAGTTTTGTAAAGCTGTCCCTTGGAACCCAAGAACAAATGTGCTTTTATCAAAGCTTGGGAGCTGTTGAGTGCTGTGATTTAAGCATTTTCAATAGGTAAGGAAACAAAACAGCGAATTTAGTCTGTTTATGTCAAGAATTAGAAATAGTCCTTATTTTCCTGATTGGTGCACTATGCATATCTTATTGTTTTGTGATAGTAAAACTGAAACTGTAACCATTCTGTATTTTATTCTTTTTAGAAATTAAAGGCAGTTGGAACGTTTTGAGAAGAGTTCTTTTCATTGACTAGTTTGAGAAAATTGGAACACCTCATGTCATCTGTACATTTACTCTGCTATAAAGCATATGAAAATACTGCCTTAAAAAGTATTTGTAGATGCATTCAGGCTTCTAAATGCCACTTTTAGCCTCTTAACCAAGGCATGTGCATCCCTCCATGCTTTTACAATGTAAAGAACAAATTTGTCTTTTCTGGTTTTAGTTTCCTACAGCCTTTGAATTCAATGAGCAGTTCTTGATTACAATCCTGGATCACTTGTACAGCTGCCGGTTTGGTACTTTCTTGTATAACAGTGAGTCTTCTAGAGAAAAAGAGGTTAGTCTTTTTCTGTCTAAAAAGCTGTGTTAGTTAGAAGCGTATGCTTGTGTATGTTGTACTGTTGCCTTGACTTTAGATGATCACAGACAGTTTTGGTTGTGTTGTATTTGGTTGTATTCCTTGTATGACAGTGGTTTTGAACTGCCTTTCTCATTCTAGAATAGTTACATGGTAAATTCTTTGGGTTTGGTAACTTAAATACTATATGGTTACTAAAAGATTTCTCAAGCACTGGGCTTGGAATGTTTCTAATACAGTGACTTGGTATAGTAACTTACAATAACTTATGCTTCTAAATAAATCAGAAGTGTATTGATTTTTAGAATGTAACCATGGGTTCTGTGATGGATTTTGTGTAAATATTTACTGTTCTTATTTTATTTTAGAAAGTGGCTGAGAAAACCTTGTCATTATGGTCTTTGATAAACAGTGAAAAATCTAAGTACACCAATCCTTTCTATACTAAAGAGCTAAATCGAGCACTCTATCCGGTAGCCAGTATGCGTCACTTAGAGCTCTGGGTCAGTTACTACATCAGGTGGAACCCAAGAATTCGGCAACAAGTAAGTAAATTCTCTACAATGTACAAAATGCTTTTAGGCTTTGGAACTAAGGTTTTGTGTCATAACTGACTTGTAGAATAGTCCTGTAATCTGTTCAGGTTTTTATTATATTTTTAAAGATGGAGGAAAAGGTGAAAATTATTATTTCACAAGTCATTCTTGAGCTCCTTCTAGGCCCTTGTCTTGGGAACTGGGCTTGGGAAGCATATTTTAAGGGCCTTTTGATATACTAAAGGGTGAATGCCAACCCTTAGAAATAGGACTTACTGATCCCTGAACAGTTGAGCATCACAAACACATGTAGTTGCATTTGCTTAAATCTTTCTCCTTTTTTCTCAGAGAGCCTATGAAGTATTCTACACACTAAGATGACCTATTCTGTCCTTTCTGTTATCTGTATTGATGGCTTATGGCAAGATATTTTTTTTATGTAACTTTAATGACTCAACATTGTTTGCACTGGGTAACAGTTGGATAAAAGCTGTTATTGAAAATTATACAAGCGGATCAGATCAGAAGCCCAGGAAAGCTTTTATCAAATTACACATAGTTCAGTGCTGTGCTTTCAATGTTTAATTTATGGATACTCAATGTTTGTTACAAACTTGCTAGAAATTTCATCAATGTGGCACATAGTGTATAGAGATTCATTTGTCTTTCTTAACAAGTTGTGGAGTTTTGAGTAGGAGAAAACAGAGGAGCAAATTCGTTGACAGAAGCAGTCTTCCTAATGCAGCCCCTGGAATGAATCAGGAGTTTTCAAGCAGCGCACTTCCTTTTCTGCAGCTGATCTCCTGCATTATTTACAACAGGAGGCTGCAAGAGAGGCAGACAATTTGCTGTGTTTTCTTACAAGTATGTTGCCAGCTTTAAAGTTTTAGTTTTAAGCTTTTGTTGCTTGCTGTGAAAAATGAGGGCATTTTGCAAAAGGTGAACCCAAAGATTTATTTTAGAAAGTGAAGGGTTATAGGGCAAGCAGATTAGCTGTAAATCTAGTTAAAAATGCACATTGCCATCATTCAGGAAAGATTTTTTTGGCAGAAATTTCTCACTAGAAATGCAAACCTGTGGGATAATCTTCTATGTTACTACTACTGGTCCTACATTTTCACTACTTTTATATACAAAATGCAATTTTATTTTTTTTCTGCACATGAAATTTATGCTTCGTCTTGACTTAAAGAATTGAATAGCTTATATGTGACCTGAATCAGGTCTTTTTATGACCTTTCTTAGTGCCATTACTTAGAAGCATGTTCTGCATCAGACTCAGACTTAAGCCTGATGAAGAGTCTGATCTGTCACTAGCCACATCATTAACCCTACATCTCTAATCATCTTAGTAACTACATTCAGTGATTGATCCACCTTCCACAGCTGGCATCTCTGTCAGGGGTGCATAGCAAGTGGTGTGCTTCAGAGCGTTGCTTCAGCCTGTCTTGAATTGGTGAGGCATTTACATTTGCTTCTGGAACTGTGCTGCTAGTAGGTTTTAATTACATTACAGGCAGTTAACTGTGAAACAGCAGCAACTTTTTGACAGTTATATACAGCTGAGGAGAACTTTCAGCTATCTGCATTTTCCATTTGTTTCATTACACTATCTGAAAAAGGAAGCAGTTAAAATGCTCTTTCAAGTGAGCAATCTCCTGAAGGCTGGGGCAGTTGATTTTAAACACATTCAAGCTTGCTTATGGAATTCATTATTTTTTGCATTTATTTCACTTGTTTATTTACACAAAGTTGTGAATTTGCTATTAAAAACTGCAGGAAATTTCACCAGTAAGGGAAGTTTAATCTGAAGATATGGATTCCATCTTAATTTGATTAGTGCAGCTAAAATAGTCTGTTTAACACTATTTTAAAGGAAGATGGTGAGACATTTGATCTCTGGAATCTAAAACTTTCTAATAAGTCAAGAAGAGCAAAACTTTTGACAAGATAGTCACACTTATCTTCCTCACACTGTTAGATATTAAGAAAATAAAATCCATATGCTCCAGGAAGTGCTGGCTGGTTTTATTGAGGTGGCAAGAACTGTTTTGTGTAAAGATTTTCAGTGGATGAGAACAAGTGAAAGACAGAGGGCTCTTGCATTATAGATATAAACATTTCTGTTTAGCTACAACTTGTTACATGTGTTGGAAACTACAAATACAGAGTAATGCCAGGAAAGCACAAATACTGCAGCAGCCTAACTGCGTAGAAGTAGTGGGACTGAAGTGACAAGACTAATATAGATTTCTTTCTAGCAGCCAAATCCAATGGAGCAGCGATACATGGAGCTTCTTGCATTGCGTGATGATTATATAAGGAGACTTGAAGAACTACAGATCACAAATAATTCCAAGATATCCAATTCATCAGCCTCGTCGTCATCTCCCACACAAATGGTGTCTCAAGTACAAACACATTTTTGAAGGAAATGTTGGCTTCTTCCTGTGCTGTCCTAGCAAGCGGTGCTTAATGTAGATTTATAGCATAAAGAGGAAGATTTTAATGCCTTACATTAGACTCTCTTAATGAAGTATTTTAGGCTGTCTTCACTTGAGGACAACTTCAAAGCAAACAAAACCAACTTCAGTTATGTGCCTTTCAGAACCAGTGGACTGGGAACATTATTAATCAGCTTCTAGTTATGGAAGGCTTCAAGAATTATTTTGGAACATCTGGTGCAATTGAAATGAATTTGGTTTCATTAAGAATGCTTTAATTTATTACACTGTAGGTCATCTAAGGAAATCCATGCTCAGTGTTGCATCTCATGAGTAAACCACTAATGGCAATAGGAATATCCACATTAGGTAGAATTAGGTATTGTGTATTCCTTTTAGGAATACCTTTGTGGAGTTCATGAGAGAAAAAAAAATTCTATTGTAAGATTTCAGAGAGAAGTGTTGAAATTTTCTGGTTACCTGAGAATTGCAGATTTTCCTTTTTTGAAATAAAAATATGGAAGGGGTTTCACTGAAATGCTTCTAATGAAGAAGTTCAAATAGTTCAGTAGATAGTAAAATAAAAAAATCTATTTTTTATAAAAAATAACCAATTTTCAAATGACAGTTGTACTGGATTCTGTGAAGCCCTGTTTTGGCTAACTGTTCAGCACTAAATTATCACTGTTGGCAATACTGGTTCTTTGGAGTAATACAGAGTAAAATGGTTCTAAAGAAGGTTTATATCATTAAAAACAGACCCCCAGAGACCTTGTTTAAATATCGAGCAATAGCCATAGTATAAATGCTTGTGTTTGTCTTCTAAAAGTAAATGTGCCTGTTTAAAGGAGCTTTTATACCAAAGTAGTCAAAAATTTTCAGTTACAAATACTGTTGAAAACTTGTGCAGTTATAGCTTACTGTTTAATTTAACTTTTGTTCAACAGACATATTAAGTATTTAAGGGACTTCAGTATACGAGAGTTGCATGTATACACTGAACCTTCCAGTAAATTCTAATTTCAAGCCTTCATTTCAGAGGCTTCTTGTAAACCTTAAATTTGTTCCTTTCAGGTATTTTTTTAAGTAGTTTCAAAAGTAGCACAAACCTTGCTGCTTGATATTTAATTAATATTTTGCATATTCTCAGAAGTTTAATAATATTCAGGCAGTCCAGGAAATACTGCAATTCCCAATTTGTAAGGGACTTTCTTATTGTTCTTTTAAAGGAGATATTTTGATTCTTGAGGGTTTTGTCATTGTAAATTATTGTACATGTGGCGAGTTTTGATCTGCAAGATATAATAGGATTATATATAAATTAAGTTCTGTGTAATTATATATTATATAGTTTATTAGAAATTCTGAAAGTTTATAAAGTGTAAATATTTTGCATATGAAAACTAAATTTAAAGCTAGTTGCATAAAATAAGTTGAAGTTTAGAGGACATCTGAATATTTTTAGAATGGTATTTTTTCAAAGGAATAGAAGTATACCGCCTCGTGATTAAATTCAGTAGATACACTGAGTTGCACTATTGTTTTCAGGGAAGCTCAGAGCATACACCATGCAAGTTCTAAATATGCACGATTTATGACTTAATTTTATCCTCTAAATTTCATTCTCCCATTAATGTTCTTCACTGTGTGCTTCCAAAATAACAATGTTGTCCCAAAATCTTGACTTGATAAGGTAAATGAGATGCGTTATATCTGATAAATGAAGAAGGATCCTTAATTGTTCATGATATATTTACATTTTGAAAGCTATGCATACTCGGGTATATTTGCCTTCTATTGTGGTTTATAAAAAAAAAGCTATTTTTACTAGAATATTTGAAGTTTCTGTATTTGAGTTGAACGTATTGGGGACATCTCTGAGCAGTGTGGAGAAGTTCCAAAAATCTAGTTGTTTTACTGTGTAAACACTACATGTTAACCTGCTGCATTTGGGAGAGTTTAATATGGAAAGGGATCTTTTTGCACTTATTACATATATACCATTCTTCATATTACTCCTTCAGTTGAATTTCAGTCTTTGAAGCTCTCTAACAGGTCTGTGTGGGCTTGTATTTTTTTTTTTTTTTTTTCCATTCAACAGATAAGATACTTGTTTTAATTCTATTTTTTACATGGCAATGGTAGGCAAACGTAGGTGTGTTTTTAATACAGTACTTTCTGGAAAATACTAGTTTGAAGTTGTGAATGTTAGCATACAAACTGATTTATGTTAAACAGGAAGCTCTTCTTCCCCTTGTGTGCATGATCCGAGCTGTCACTGTGCATGTTGGGCATCGCCTGGTGCCTCCATCCCTTTGGACCATCCATCCCCTGCAACCGACAGCAAGCCTGGGGCAGTGAATGAAGGAGTTCCAGGTCCTGTGTGCCCTTTCCTGGAGGGGTAAAAGAGCAGGGATGTAAACATCAGTGGCTCTAAGTGCTTCATGTCCCATATGAAATGTCCATCTCAGAATGCTGGTTTGTTTTTTTTTTTTCCTTTCTTTTCTGTTGTTGTATTTCCATGGACCTGAGTAGATAAACTTTATAATAACTGAAGCCCACTACACAAACTAGGCTCTGTGTTGGATGCCTTCTTTATTTGGGTATTATGGGTATCCCTTAGAACTAATTTGTGTACTACCTCCTTTTGATGTGTTTTTCTCACGCTGCCTTGAGTTCAGTTGTTGCCTCGCAGTGAGCATTTTGTCATGCTTGAGGAAGCAGCCTCATAACCTGGCCAGTACTCTCCCTTGGTGACCGTGCCCCTGGAGACCGCAGCACTGCGCTGGAGCCGGGTGTGACTCGTGAAGCGACTTTGGGGCGTTGAGGGGGAGAGTTTAACATCCGTCTGCCATGTATGTGTGTGAGCGGAGAAGCAATAAACATGATGTCAGTTTCAAACCCTTTGCCTCCGACAGGCGGTTTACCATGGCACGCGGTCCATGCCTGCCCGGGCTAGTGCCGGAGGGGCCCCCGCCGCCCTCCCCTCAGCCCCGGCCCGGCCTTCTCCCGCCGCGCGGGGCCGCTGCCCGCCCTCGCGGCGGCGCGGAGGCCTGTGGGTAAGCCCAGCCGCCAGGTGACAGCTCTCGGCCGCCGGCGGGGCCCCAGCGGGCCGGGCTGAGGTGCCAGGGCCGGGCCGGGCGGTGGAGCGGGGCGGGGAACGAGGAGGGGCGGCAGCCCTCCATCCCGGCGGCGCGGCGAGCACCGCCGGCGGCCGGAAACATGGAGCGGGCGGCAGCGGCGGCTGGGCCGGCGGTGGAGGGCGGCGGCGTGAACCGGCGAGCCGTGCGGGCGGCGAGCGCGGCGGCAGGGGCAGGGTCGCGGCAGCCCAGCACGGAGACTCTGGACAGGTGAGCGAAGCCGGCGGGAGAAGGCGACTCCGCTTCCCGCGCTCGGTGCGGGGCGTCGCGGCCTGCCCTCCGCGGAGGGCGCCCCTCGGCCCGCGACCCGGCGCAGCGCGGCCCCCGGCCATGGGGCGGGCTCTCCCCGCTTTTCCGCGCTTCTCCGTGCCCCGAAACCAGCCTGGAAGCGGGCGCGGAGCCGGGGGACTTAAATCTGGGAGTTCACTCCAGTGCGCGCGGGCTGACGGTGGATTGTCCCCGGCGGGGAACCGGCCGTTGTCAAAGTTTCCTGCTCGCGGCTGTGTGTTTTTCATCATTACCGTCATCGATGGTTCGGAGGAGGCCGGGGCTGCAGGGCGGAGCTCGGGCCGGGTGTTTTGGGGCAGTGCGTAGCTTCTCCTCTTCCCGAACTCAAGTGAGGCTGTTCTCAGCCTTTAAGCGTTTATTCCCGTTTTTGTTACTCACTTATTTCCCATGCACGCCTGTATTTCCCCTGCGGCGGTGTAACTGATTTACCGTCGGTGCGTGTGGTGGCTCCGCGCCTGGTGCCGCCGGTGCCGGTGCTCCGGTGTCACACAGGGGCTGGACCTGGCCAGGTGTTGTCACATCTGCTTGGGCACTCACCGGCACGGAACCTCCTTCCTTTAGAAGGTTCCAGCTGGCGGCAGACTACAGAGCCGAGTTCAAAAATCCTTAAACAAGGGGTAGAAACTAGCGGAAGCTTCACCCAGATGAAAAACGAAGAAAAGCCACTGTATTTAAGAATCACTGCCAGGTTGCAGTCTCCATATTCTCTCTATATTAGGAGAAATCTGGAATTTTAGATTCTTCTAGTGAAGGTGGAAATCAAATGTCCATTTTCTGTCACTGAAACTCACAACTTTGTATTTCCTAATAATGCGCATTCTTATCATAGTCTCCTTGTTTCTTCTCCTCATCTTGTTCTACTCTGGAAAAGTTATAATGTCCATTTTTCATACAATTTACTTATTTGCCAGTATGGTTGTACCAGGCTGTGCTGATGTGCATGACCTCAGGTGAGACAGAATGAAAAGACGTGTGCTGGTAGTTGACCCACTTGGCAGATGGTGATAAGTCACAGCTGTGTTCAGCATCCTAAGGTTCACTGATACATCCTCAGACACTGATTGTAGAGATGGAGCTGCCTTGACATTTTTTCCTCCTGCTGTTGTCTTTGCTGATGTAGTGATACCCGATGAAGATAAGCCATAGAAAAATAAATCCTTTTCTTGATTGACAAGTAAATGCGTATTTGGAAACAAACTTAGGCAAACCCTAGGAAGATGTACTAGAAATTAAGAGATGTGAAAGAAGGAGAAATGGATGGGATCAGAAAAGGTCAGCTCATGCACTCTATTACAAAACTGCAGTGAAAAGTTTCCTTAGGTGAATCTGGATTCGGGTTTAGCACTAACCTGACAGTTGCCTTCATTGTTCAAGCAGGAATACCATAGATGTGTTTTAGTTGCAAACCAACATTTTGGGATCTAGTGCTCTGTAGCATCTTGTAGGTGGAGAGAAAACTACAAAAATGTATCAGTTCTGAAAGAGCTTTCATGTCAGTTGTTGCATGCAGCTTCACCTTGTATCTACCTATACTAGCATAGTCAATGTGTGAAAAGACTTCTTGGTAAGGTGAATTGGTCATCTTATGTGAGGATCCCACCCTCTTATTGTCCAGGTCCTGGTGCACCTGTTGGGTGCTGAGTATGCGCTGACTTTGGTGTCACTGGATACTCACAGAATCCAAAGCTGGTTTATGAATGAATTCTAAAAATGAATTAACATTTTCTTTCTGTATTTGACTTCCAAATAAGCATTAAATCTGTGGAAGAGCCCAGCTGAACTGTTTGAAGAGTTAGCACTTAGCTAAGCTGTGGCTGCCCCGGCACTCAGGGAACAGTTCCCTCTGGCATTCCCAGTTTTCCATCAGATACTGGTGTTTCTTGAAGCAGACCTAGTGCATTTCAAAGTGTCTGGCAATAAACTGTAGTTGTTTCTTGCTCTCAATACTATGTTATTTGTGAGCAGCACTAGTTCAGGAAACTGTTCTCAAGACCATCATCCTGGGTTTAGTGCTATTCTGCTGTTCAGATGCTTTGGCCCTAAAGGGTTCTTATAAACACGGTGCGCTGCAGAATTCCTTACTGTGGCATGGGAAGGCCTGTCTGAAGATTATTCAGAGATTATTTTATGAGTAGGAAAAAAAAATGCCTAACTAGAAGCTACACATTAGAAAACATATATTTTCTACATTTAATATTGATATAGAATACAACACTAGCTTAGTTGAAATTTTTAAATACTAGCATGGAGTAATTGAATTTTGAGGATTTACTGAATAACCAGGAAATCATACTAAGGAAAGCGTAAGGAGTTTCCTGTTACTTGACCAAATTCATTCAGTGGATGGCTTTGAGAAAAAAATGTGTGAATGATGACAAAAATTACACTGGATAAGGGAACCAACATTTTTAGAAGTTCCTCAGACCCTATCCTTGCTTTTAATCTACTGGCGGCTCAACATCTCTGATAAAATCTAGTAAAATTCTCTTCCCTGATTTGATCAGCCAAACAGTTGCATTCTGCCTATAAAGCAAGCTAATTTTCATGATATTAGTGATCATTTATGGTCTTGTTTTCTGGATGTGCTCAGTTGCTTTGCTGTTCTCAATATACATTTTGAATTATTGCTAAATAATTTGAAATATTCTGCTTCTGCAGCCCAACTGGATCCCATGTGGAATGGTGTAAACAGCTGATAGCTGCGACCATTTCTAGTCAGATTTCTGGGTCTGTCCCATCAGAAGGCATGTCCAGGGACTACAGGGTAAGTGACTTGAGAAATGCATTGATTTGTTTAAGAGAAAAGAGTGAATGATCAGGAAAGTCTTTGCTACCTTGATTATCAGGTGGTAAGTACTTAAGCTATCACTGAATGTTTCAGAACTAGAAACATCTCATTATGTGTAGGAGTCTTTTGAATCTGCTTTGTGTTTCTCTCTGTATTTAGAATAGTGGCATTGAAGTCTACGGAATAAAAATTAAGAGCGGTGAAAGGGAAATTAAAAGCCAATGTTTTGAATAAAATGCCAAAAGTGATTTGTCTTTTCTTTTGATTACTACATTTAATAAAAAAAATAGTAAAGTAAATTAATAGTTACAGGTTTGAAAGTGTTTCTAGTGTGTGTCATTCAGAGTACAGAATTGAGCTTTCCAGATTTCACAATAAAGAATGCAGATGTCTTTCTTCCCATGTAAAGGACAGAAATTGCTATTATTTTTTCATTGGGTTTCACCAGAGAAAGTTTAGCAACAAACAAACAAACAAAAAATCACCTTTTTCGTTCCCTCCCAGCAACATTTTTATCACTAAGGTAATGATTGCATAGTATGGTTTACCTGTTACGTTCTATTACGCTTTTTTTACCCCAGTTCTTTCATGTTCAGTTGCTGTTTCCTATATGTAGCCAGCCAACTGAGCTATCAGGAGTGGAACATATGCAGTTTTCCGTCTCTTGCAAATTGACAGAAGTCAGCTTTGTTTCAAGTCTCTGAAACCCCAGGTTTCAGTTATCTAGATCCTTTTTTCTTTCCAGATTTGAAATACTTTCATGGTCTTTATTTAAAATGGCCAAGTGAAGATTTTTATCTTTTTGTTTGTTGTTTGTTTGTTTTTAATTAGATTTTAAATTATTTTCTAACACGCTTTGTGGTTTGTAAGTTTGTTGTCCAGAACCAGTGTATTTTAGATTCTGTGACAGCAGGTCAGATTCAGCCCAGGCCTGAAGATGAATCCACAAAATGTTTTTGGCTGTAGCCTACTTAAAAATTTACCTTCACAGAGTTTCACACTATTGGCACAGTCAGCAGTTTATGCTTATAAGAAAGTGTAGCTCTTCCATACTATGGCAGCTGAATTGCAAATGCTTACTTTGGGTCAAGGCTAACATCTTTGATGAAACATTGTAGGAAGACTTGCGTAACAGCTGTCGATGTTGTATTTGCCCTGTAGATCAAGGATTTCATTTTAGTAAAATCCAAGTATGTAAGCTTGGTGTTCAGTTTATCTCTGAGTTAGAACACATTCCTCTGGTATAAAGAGGACTTTTGAATTCTAAGTAACGTCCTTCTCTATACCAAAGTCCTCTTGGGTGTTATTTAACAGGAGTAAGGCTTTCAAGACCTAATTAAATCCTACATCATTCTCTTTCATAAAATGAAATAAGAAAAAACAAACCTGGTAGCATTCAGAATTTTGTGTATAAATCGTATTTGGCATCATTGCATTGCAGTGATTTGGAATCCCATATTTGTGTATAACGTGATGAAATTTTTTATCCTAGAATACCTTTAGTTACATTCAGGCCTAGTATCTTGTGAAGTGGTGTCTGTGCTTTAGGAGAAGGTTTTCTTTGCACTTAGCTTCTACAAGAGTTCAGTGGTATGATTAGTTGCTTAGTCAGTATTGCTGGAAGGCTGGGTTTATTCATTATTAATGTGGAATTCACGTGCAAAAAGATAATGCCCATTTATAACTCAGTTTTCCTTTGAGACATCATTCTCTTTTGATGTACACTGATCAATTTTCTGGGTATTCATTATGCTTGCTTACCTTGAATTGCTGCATTTTGAGACTCTTACAACAATACGGAACATTCAGGTAGGGCCAGATGCGTGTGTGTGTTTCTGGAACTGGTTCAGGCAGTTCTCTTGCGTTCTGCTGGGTTTACCAGGAACTCACGGCTTTATTCTTTCTTTCTTTCTTTCTTTTTTTTTTTTTTTAATGTTTCAATCAATATGTTTCCAAAAACAGGCAAATATATCAATTCTTATATCTAATGGTGTAACACATGTTACTTTGTTTAACCTGCCTTACCAGAATGTAATTTAGAGGAGGGTGAAGATGAAAGCAAGGTGGCTGCAAATGAAATGGTCAAAACTGGAGAGCACCAAGCAAGCTCTTGCTTGCTAAACCCTTCAGCAGCATGATTTCACTGAGCTCTGCTGTGTATGTCTTCTCTGACATACTCTCTGCCTGGAGAGTATTCTTGAATAAGGGGTTCATGTAAATGAAAATTACTTAGATTATAGTAGCTGAGCATAGACACTTTCAGAAATAAGTTGAGAAGAGCTGATGTTTCCTTGTTTTGCCGTTTGAATATAAAGGATTGTACTTGTACTTGGTTGTACTTCAAGGTTGTTATTGCAGACTCATTGTCTTCCACCTAGAAGGATTACCAGGCTCTTTCTTCTCTTTTCACTATAGCACATTGTAACTGGATAAAATGGTGATGAGTAATGAACGTTTCAAAAGAGCTTGGCATTTGTTGCATCACTAAAATGAAGTGGCAAGATTGTTTTTAGACCAAAACAATTCTGCAAATGAGAGCTACTAGATCTGTTTCATTCTTTCAAAATCTAGCTATAATTACAATGTTTGGGACTAGGGTTCTTCTGAAAAATCTGATGCACTTGATGATATATTTAACAAATCAAATATATGTGATTTGTTGGATAACCTTTTATATTTTAACTAACAGGTGTACAGGAGGCCTGTTATACGGGTAAGATTACCTTTGGCTAACAGTAAAACGGCCTCCTACCTGTTTGTCTTTTGTGCTGTGTGAGATCTTGGTGTGTCAAGCATTCTTCTTTACTTCATTAATGGTTTTTATGAACCAGTCAGACCATTTTGCTATGCAGTGCAACAGCTTCTTTGCCATAGAAATGCTTTATATACATTACAATGTTTTCATGAGCAATAAAAGTCAATGTGTAAGAGAGCAGTATTTTTAAATTATGTTTTGAATGTGCAACACTAACTTCAGTTTTATTACATTAATTTTGACAAAATGGATGCTTACAGCTGAGGCTTACATGCTTCGGACTACAGAGTGCTGTATTAGCAGCTCTAACGTGTTATCTATACCAAAGAATATTAGTGGTAAAAACATTATGTCTTTGTTTATCATATTTAAATAAGATGCCAATTCTTGCTTGCCTTTGTACCTGTTTTGCTTTAATTGTTACCACCCTTGTAATACAATCGAAAGTTAAGTTTGAATTTAGATACCAGTGCAGTGACTTGCATCTTTTGAATCATTTTGAGACTGGGTCTTGCCTATTGTTCACTGGAGAGAGAAAAAGGGCATGCCTTGTTTTCTTGTCCCTCTCTCTTAGTAACATTTATGGAGTGAGAAATGATCTGGATAGTGTTCTGACATTGTTCATGAAATGTGTCTAACACTTATATTCAAACAAAGACCTCTTGTTCCATCTCAAACCAAGAGATGAAGTCTGAATGATTTCTTTTTCTCATCTGTTGTTTACATATTTGAAAACTATGTGTTTAGTGCAACTGTACAAACATACAAGTTGATTCTGTATTTTATTTTTAAATAGAAATAATTGGTCTGGGTTGAGTAACAAAAATTGATTGTTTTCATTCTGTTTTTTCATAGTTCTTTGTAAAGGCTTTCGTCTTTGAAGGGTCTGCTATGCTTCTTTATCTTTCATTTATTTAAAATCTTTTGGTGTAGTTGCTGGTTGCCTTTCTGGTTTTCTTCCAGAGATCACAATATCTGCTTTGCTTTAATTTCAGAAACAAGATTTTTATAGTCTGAAATTTAAGTAATTTCTGTGGAACAGTATCCCACCAAAACATTAATGTTAGGAGTTCTTTATAATTTTAAAAGGTTTTTTACTTAATTTATAGAGTTCAAATTATCTGAAGATATCTGAAGGCCTTCCTTCAAATTTTCCTTTTTTTTAAGGTTCTGTAAAAAGAAAAATTGACTTTAGCAAACATTTGTAAATTTAGACTGAGGCTGGTTTTGCAGTCTATCAAGTGAGAAGTTCTTTTTATCTGAACTGGGAATAATAGACTATCATGAGCACAACTTCTCTCCAGTTAATAAAGAAAGAAGACAGAAGACCAATTTTGCCTGAATATATTAAAACAATTCCTTCATATGACCCTATGACATTTGTGCTTCTCTCTAGAGTACACAAGGACCTTATGTTTATTAAAGAGATTTAATTAATATTCAGGATTTCCTGACAACATGACTCAAAATTGACACAAAAATGTGGATTGTTTGCATATTTTGCTATGAAGAATAATTTTGGGTAAATTTACTAGATATTCAGCAGCAACACAGAAGTTGCTGGAAGTATAGGTGAAACCATGAAACTGGAAGTTCAATTAAAACACGTTTTACACAGTGGATCATTTTCTAATTTGTTGAGATACTTTTATTTGATTTCAACCTATATTTTCCTTAAAACATTGCATGAGTCTTCCCCTAATGCTACAATTGCAAGCTGTATTCAGTTTCTTCTATTGATAAGCATGTGGCATACTTTGAGTTCATTTTCTTCACTATGAGGTTGTTTGTCTTAAAAAGACAGTGCATGCTTTTATGTTCTTATCTACCTGCACTGACTCTTTTGTGAAAAAGGGAGTGTATTTTTCTTTTTGTGCTGTGCCAAATAACATCAAAAGGATAGTGCTAACAGCTTGGATTCCTTTCTGTAGAAGGTAGTGTGTGCCAGGAGTAGAAGATTTTGAATAGCTAAACTGAAGTTAAAGTATATGCTGTCTTTTTAAGGAAAGTGAAAAAAGGGAAAAAAAACAAAGAAAAGATTCTGTCCTTTCACCTGTTGTGCATGTTTTTTCCTGTTACTTCTCTCTTGCCCTACTGCTGCCTCATGCAATGCAGGAGATTCAGGATGGACACAATGGCTATCATTCTGAAGCAGAACCTGATCAGGTGGCGAGTTTTACTCATCTTTCATTCATTAACTGTGTAGCAAGGTACTATATATTAGTACTTGTAGATCACATAGAAATCTTTTTCATGCAGGAGAATCCATAGAAAGCCTTTAGTATGCTAACTGGTTACATGCTAGGTAGGGTTTTCGTGTAATGTCAAGTAGTCTAAAATGTAATACTGCACGTAAACCCCTGCCTGACAGATCGCATTCATCCTTCGAAATCTGCAAGTATTGGCTAATCCTCTGAATGTCATCTCTCGTGATAGGATGCTGAATGTAAAATTTTGTTAGTTTAGAAGACAATCTAAAGCCAGAGATCAATTTAAATATCTTCAGAAATTATTTATTAATGCGGACTTGGGGTAGTTTCTTGGAGGCAGACAGATCGTACCGATTATTTGAATGTAAATCTGACCTGTGATGTAAGAGAAGAGTTATTAACATAGTCCATTATATTTGTTCTTACTTTGGGATGTAAAATTTGAAACCTTAATATGTCATCATGTTGACCTGAGAGAGATCGCTTTCTCACATGATCCTTAAAAGTCCTGTAAACCCTTTTTTTCTTAATTAAAATCTTTAGTACGTTGTAAATCTTAGCTGCCAATGAAGGACCCAAAGGTTCAATCCTGTATCATCCAGGAATGAAGCAATTTACCTACATGAAAATTTATGGAACTAGCTCTTATTTTAAAATTGCTAATTGTTCTTCTATATTTCATTATTACTTCATTCTTTAAGCTGACCTTCTGGATCCGACATTCTTATAATGGACCTCTTCCTTAACCTGTGGCACTCTCAATAGAGTATTGATTGAAACAGAGCATCGTGGAGTGCTTCTGACTTACTCCCATGAAAAATACAAAGTTAGAATATTAAATAAATAAAGCTTCTGCCATAAAATTCTCTCAGATGAAAATACTCAAACAACATTAAAAATAGAAAAAAGCATAAGCTTTAAAATGTTCTCAAGTAGATAAAATACCCCAAATAATACCTGCATTTAGCAAAAGACTAACAACTTAATTATAAATTTGGGCTTATCTCATTGTTCATGTTTTTGTATGCTATATGTCTCTAGCATGTGAAACTACTTGTTGCATAAATGCGTCATTACTAATATGTTACTAACATGTATGCCTGTGTAATAGTTATAATAGCAAGTGTCGTGTTTATGTTTTTATTTTTTTTTACTATGGTACCATTTAATACAGTTGTGCCTTGTAAAAAAAGACACACTTCTTGTGTTCCAGTAATCTGGTAGTAAAAGCACTTAGCATCAAAATATATCGATGTAGTACAGATGGGAAGTGAGATTTACTCATGGTTTTGGATTTCTGCCAGGCACTGCGGGATGGAAACAAACTAGCACAGATGGAAGAGGCTCCACTTTTTCCTGGAGAATCAATCAAAGTTATTGGTAAGCATACTACTGAGTACTACACTGAATACTGTTAAATCACTAGTTTATTTATTTAAAACCAGAACATTGTTTCCTTTTGACTTTTGATGTTTTAATTTAATGCCACTTTAGATTAGCTGATTTGGTGTGGATTTCTTTTGTCTTTCAAATCCAAATGTAGGAAGGAAAAATCGGTTCCTGAGGATGGCTTGCTCCATGTAGAGCCCAGGGGGGTTGTGGAGTCTCCTACATTAGAGATGTTCAAGGCCCGCCTGGACAAGTTCCTGTGTGATGTACTCTAGGTTACCCTGCTCTTGCAGGAGGGTTGGACTAGATGATCTTTTGAGGTCCCTTCCAGCCCTTAGGATTCTGTGATTCTGTGATAAATCAGCTTTTTCAAGGGTTAGTTTGTTCCATATGTGTGTATGGGGTTGTATTTCTGCCTGCGGATGCCAAGGATACTTCATAAATTCAAAAGCTTCAGAACTGTAATAGCAAAGAAGATGAAGCTATAGAAAACTTAGTTTCTAGTTCTTAGTGAGATTTATTTCACTTTGACCTGTGACAGCAGACTGTGTTAGCAGTACAATACTTGGCTGGAAAAGAATACTAGCTCTTTCAAATAAAAGTGAACATGAAGATATGGGGCTGTAATTGAATTAGGTGAAAGTCAGTTGTGTGCAGATGAGTAATTGGATGGTCTGAGATGACTGTGGGTGCTTTACACCTCAGAGAAGGGACCAAAGCCATCCAAAGCTAAGAATACCAGCAGGGTGCTTTGTTACCTGCATGCCTTTACTGCAGCCCATGCTAGCTAAGCCCTGCCCCAGTTCCTGAGCAGCCATGGGACTGAGGAATTTGATTGTTTTCACCATTGAGCTAAAGACAGCTCTCAGTCCTGACAGCATCTGAACAGTGGGCTTTACTATAGAGGTCAAGCATCAAAATCTTACAGAACTGCTAAAATCTTGGTATTTTTTAAATGGAAATATACTTTTATGGAAGAAATGCCTGTGATAGTAAAACAAAGCTTTAATTGGTCTGTTTTCCAGCTAAAGATGTTATGTATATCTGTCCATTTATGGGAGCAGTAAGTGGTACTCTAACAGTGACGGACTTCAGAATGTATATCAAAAGTGTTGAAAGGGTAAGACTTCACTATTTGCATATTGTTTCACATAGGATTGTTGCTGAGGTAGATTTCAGAAAGTGTTAAGTTTGGTGTAAGTGAAATGTGTTAAATGGGAATTGTAGTTGACTCTGAAGAAACATATGTGAGCAATATTAGTCTGTGTTCCTCCTATTGTGTAACAAAATTGCTTTACAAATTTCAGGATCCACCTTTTGTTATTGATGTTCCCCTTGGAGTCATAAGTAGAGTTGAAAAAATTGGAGTACAGAGCCACGGAGACAACTCGTGTGGTATAGAAATAGTTTGCAAGGTATGGTGTGGTAGAGATTTATTCGTATTAAAGTATTTTCATCTCATTTTCCTGTAAGAGGAATCTGCATGCACATGTGCTGTTTTTCTTCTGTTCAGTTCCCTGTATTTGAACCCTGCTTCATCTAGATAATATATTTCAATTCCTCTTATGATACTTGCCGTCTTAAATACTTCTGCCTTTTGTCTCAAGAGTGGATTCAAAGGAAAAGTGGCTATTTTTATATCTAGCTACTCCAGTGATGATCCTTGTCATCTGGTACTAACTCTGTTCTAATGTGGGTTAGATGATGTCAGTGTCTTAGTGCTACATATGCCTTCCTTCAGTCAAATTTCTTATAACTGCCTTAGTTTTTTTCATAGAGTAAAATAGTGTAACTTATTTTTGACAGGATATGAGAAATTTGCGGCTGGCCTATAAACAGGAAGAGCAGAAGAGATTAGAGATCTTTGAAAACCTTGTAACACGTGCGTTTCCTGTTTCTAATGGGCTGGTAAGTCTTAAGATGTAGAGCAGGCTGTCACTGGCCATCATCTTTTCGGAAAATATAGGTGGGGAAATAAAGGGCTGTATAACAACAATAGAAATGTTGATTCATAAAATCTGTTACAGAGCACCAAGCTACTCTGTCCCTGTTTCCTTGTTGCATTAATTCTTAGAACATTAAGTGTCCTGCTAGCAGTGAAGTTAGTTAACATGTACATAACTGCTGAGATCTGCATTTGCCTAATGTAGCTGATTAAAAATATATACGTATTGACTCTTATTTTCTGCAGCAGATAATTCAGTCTGGAAGTTCTGTTGAAAATAACAAATAAGTACAAGTAGTCTTGTTATTAGTTAGCTGCAGAATGCTACTTCATTTGCTTGTATGGGTATGGAACTAATTGAGAGGTAGGAGACCAAGGTCCTCATCCTGGCTTTGCCATTGATGTGTTGTATAGTCACAGGCAAGTAACTTCAGGTCTCTGTACTTCCTATCTTGATTTTGTTCTTGATTTTCTTAATTATATGGCGTGTACTTGAAGGAGGAAATGGTGTTTCATTTTCTTTTTAGCACAGTGTTGTCCAGTCTTGACTGAAGGTTTCATGTTTGCTGTTAAAAGAGTTTTTGAAGTGTTAGGTTTGAAATATTTGAAGGTTCACTCTTTTAGAACTTATTGTGCATACAGCCCATCAGACAGTAATTTATGCCTTTGCTTTCTTATCTGTAGCCTCTTTTTGCGTTCAGCTATAAAGAAAAGTTTGCTGTTAATGGCTGGAAAGTGTATGATCCAATTGTGGAATATAAGAGGCAGGTAAGTTATAGAAGTACTTAGTATATTATTTTTTCTCCATCTCCCCCAGACACATTTAAGCAAGAAAAAAATACTAAAGGAAACTCCAAGTTTTCAACTCTGTTTACATACACACACTATATAGATCTCCTGTTTAGATAATGAAACGCAAGTAACACAGAGAGTGTTAAGTGCCTGCTGAAGTTGGTGGAAGTAACATGTGCTGAGTACCTGAGCAAATTCGTCTATCTTTACGTGCATTCTTAAATCCACATTTTCCAAGTGCTGTTTCTAGAAAATATAGACTTTATAAAAACCTGCATTTGAATAAGCATCAAACAGAAGAATAACTGTTGCTTGCCATTGAGGATCTACAGTTTGATAGTTGCAAAAGTATTTTTGTTTCACTATATGGTCACTTTTTACCTGAGCATGCCACCCATTCAATTGGTTATTTCACATATAAGTTTTAAAGATAGTAAAGAGGACTTTTGGTTTATGGTTCACTCTGGAGACCTAAATTTTTAAACTTATTTAAAAGAAAAATGTGGTTACACTTCTTTTTTAAAAAGTATGCAGCCTATAAAAATATTCATTGCCCCAAATTCATCTGTAAACGTCTAACCTGAAAAATACAAAAATGTTTTGCTTTCATACAGGGCTTGCCCAATGAGAGTTGGAAAATATCCAAAATTAACAGCACCTATGAGCTTTGTGATACATATCCTGCTATTCTTGTTGTGCCAACCAGTGTAAAGGATGATGACCTCTCAAAAGTGGCAGCGTTTAGAGCAAAAGGCAGAGTTCCAGTAAGTGAAACTTCTACAAGGAGGTATAAGTACTCTACAAATTTGTAGCTTATAAGAAATTATTGGACTTCTTTTAAGGCTTTTTTTTTTATTATTATTTTTAATAACAGTGGGTTGGCTTCCTTCCTGAAGCAGTGAGGTAGGGAGCAAAGAAAGAAGAATTAGGGATTAGGCTTGATGGGTTTAGAACTGAAGAGAACAACTACAGTGCTGAAATGTGAGTCTAATTGCTTGGTTATTGTGCCATATAATAAATTTTTGTTTGTAGTTAATGCTTCTAGGCCACAGTGGGATCTGGTGCTAATTCACATGTTAGCTTGTGTTCTGATTTGGTGTGGAATATGTTACCATCATAGCAGTCTTATTGAGAATAGACAAGTTTTGCAGGTAGCATAGGAACACCTTTAAATATATTAAATAGTGACAGTTTTCATGCTATAGATCTGCTTACCAAGGTAGTGTACAGGTCCGTAGACTTCCACACAGAAGTTTTTTGTATTTCGTTGTTTCTAGAGGAGTTTTCTTGTTTGTCTTATATTCCTTTGTTAGGTTAGTTGGTTGGTTTTATTTGTTTTTTCTAATTAGTAAGATGCAATACAGGCTTAGTTTTTATTAGAAATAAAAGCTAAGATGTTTAGAATCACTTTGCATTTCAAGCTGAGATCTGGGATGAGCAGTGCTAGTGTGCTCTCAGTATGGTTTTGCGTCAGCTCGTCCTTAAATTTGCACTTGTTAATTTGCCAAGAAGTAACATGTAGGCAGTATAATTGTCTAATTGCACTCTGGTCTACTGCTTTTATAGTAGTATAGTAAACTAAAATAAATTTCTTTTCTTTCAGGTGTTATCCTGGATTCATCCTGAGAGCCAAGCAACAATAACACGATGCAGTCAGCCATCAGTCGGCCCAAATGATAAACGTTGCAAAGAAGATGAAAAATATTTACAGACAATAATGGATGCCAATGCTCAGTCACATAAACTGATCATCTTTGATGCCAGACAGAATAGTGTTGCAGACACAAACAAGGTAAGTTCATATCATAACATTAGTAGTTCTGTCTTTATTACAAGGCTAAAGATTAAGAGATGAGAATGAGGAGAGCTTGATGTTGAAAAGAGATGGAAATGGGTCTCTAAAGAGGGCATGCAAAGGAAAGTAAGCTGCTTGTAGAATTTTGGAAGGGCTGGCAGGAACTAAAAGCAGCATGAAGACATAGCTAAAAAATTATGTGATAAAGCGTAGAAAAGACCAAAGGTTTCAGTAGTAGCAGTTATTTTTCTCCCTCCTAGTAGATGGTGCAGTGCTAGTTTTTCAACTTTAGTCTGAGAACAACGCTGATAACACACTGATGTTTTTAGTTGTTGCTAAATAATGCTTACTCCGATCAAGGACTTTTCAGTCTTATGCTCTGCCAGTGAGGAGGGCACGGGAAGCCAGGAGGAAGCAGAGACAGGACACCTGACCCAAACTAGCCAAAGGCATATTCCATACCACGGCATGTCATGCCCAGTATATAAGCTGGGGGGAGTTACCCTGAATGCCCAGATCACTGCTCGGGTCAGGCTGGGTATCAGTCAGCGGGTGGTGAGCAATTGTATTGTGCATCGCTTATGATGCATTTATTGTTTTCTTTTCCTTTTCTCCTTGTTATTTCCCTTATCGTTGTTATTACTGGTGGTAGCAGTAGTGGTTTGTGTTATACCTTAGTTACTGGACTGTTCTTATCTCAACCCATTGGATTTACATTCTTTCGATTCTCTTCCCCATCCTTCCAGGAGGAGGGTGGTGGAGGTGAGTGAGCGGCTGCATGGTTCTGAGTTATTGGCTGGGCTTAAACCATGACAATGGATGTATTATCATATGTAGCCTCTTACAATTAGAATTTCTTTCATCTAAAAAAAATAGTCTAGTGCTTCTTAGAAAAACAAAAGCTAACAATATGTTTTTATTATGCTAAAATAATCATGTTTCAGAAAATCCTGAAACCTGACCAGAATAACTCTCAACCTTATACTGAAATCCTGTACTTGTTCTTTTCTACATCTGTTTTTACTTTTTGAATGACAGGCTAAAGGTGGAGGATATGAAAGTGAAAGTGCCTATCCAAATGCAGAGCTAGTCTTTCTGGAAATTCATAATATACACGTGATGAGAGAATCCCTGCGTAAACTTAAAGAAATAGTTTATCCTACTATTGATGAGACTCGGTGGTTATCAAATGTGGACTCCACCCATTGGCTGGAATATATAAGGGTAAAATACTTTTGATACGGAAAATCAGTTGTGTTTTTAAACCATGTTTTTAACTTACGTTTCTGAAAATATTAATAGAATAATGTCTAGATTTAAGCACATTGCTTTCATCAGGGTAATCATCTTAAAACCCCTTAATTTTTAAATCAGTATTCCGTAATAACATCGTGTTTCAAGTTTTATGTATTGGTAGGTAATGTGTTAATTCCTAATAGCACAGTATTGTATTTATTGTTGGACAGTGTTTTATTTTCTTGAGAGGGGATGTTTGTGAGCAGTCCAGGGTTATCCCTGCTTTTTGGAAGAATGCCCTGGGAACTTCAGATTCTGTTTGAACAACTGCCAGAAGGCCTTGACTGTAAATACTGCAATCTTTCTCATCCTTCCCTCCGTCAATGCAATGTTGGTGTTCTTGTGCTAGGCTGTTCATTGCCTGTTTATAGTCAGCACTCTACTGGCTTATAATCCACTCTATTATTTAACATAATATTAAAATAAATCACTACCATACTCAGTTTTACACTCTATTTCACTGACCTCTGAAATTTTTCATTATCACGTCCACTCTCCTGTTTATGATGAATATGGATTGAGTGGAATTTGTTTTATTAGCAACTCGCTCAAATGTCACTCATGCAAAACATGTTTGGGATCGTTCATTAGTTTGCTCTATTAACTAGTGCTTGCTATCTGCTGCAGGAGAACCAGTAGAGGGAGCAAACGCTAAATTAAGAATTAAACAAATTTAATGATCTTTTGGGACAGTTTAATGTTTTTATTCTCTTGAAGTTGGACTATTTCAAATAGTGTTGGGAATCTGAGTACCTGGAAACCTTTTCTGATCAGCCTGGCATTTAATGAGATAATCTGTTTTTAAAAGTGCAGTTGTTTGGGCTGGTGGTCACCTTTGAAGACATTGAAATCATTGACTTCAGTGGGGTTCCTGGGCTTGGACCTCTCTGAAGTGGACCTTGATGCCGTTGTTGCACAGATGACAATAGCATGCAATTTTAAATTTCATTTAAATTATTTTAAAGAGTTGACACACACATAACATTCTTCATGGATGTGTCCCTTACGTGATATTTAACACTTATGCCTTGGCAGCACAAACTGTAGCCTGATTTCTTACAAGATGCCACTACTGTGTTGGCAGTGTTGATAGTATCTCCCTGTGCTTTTATCCAAGAATCACTTGTCTGCCTTTTCTTCTCCAGGCTGAACAGCCTCAGCTTTCTCAGCCTGTCCTCATATGGAAGGTGCTCCAGTCCCCTGATCATCCTTGTGGCCCTTCTCTGGACTTGTTCCAACAGTTCTATGTCCTTTTTATGTTGAGGACACCAGAACTGTACGCAATATTCCAAGTGAGGTCTCAAGAGAGCAGAGTAGAGGGGCAGGATCACCTCCTTCGACCTGCTGGTCACGCTCCTTTTGATGCAGCCCAGGATATGGTTGGCTTTCTGGGTTGCGAGTGCACACTGAAGCCGGCTCAACGTTAAGTTTCTTGTCAACCAACACCCCCAAGTCCTTCTCTGCAGGGCTGCTCTGAATCTCTTCTGTAGCTGTGTGAATCTCAACCTGTAGCTGTGCCTGGGATTGCTCTGACCCAGGTGTAGGACCTTGCACTTGGCATGGTTAAACTTCATGAGGCTGGCATCAGCCCACCTCACAAGCGTGTCATGGTCCTTCTGGATGGCATTCCTTTCCTCCAGCGTATCAACCACACAGCTTGGTGTCATCGGCAAACTTGCTGAGGGCGCACTCAATCCCACTGTCCATGTCACTGACAAAGATGTTGAACAAGGCCGGTCGCAACACGGATCCCTGAGGGACACCACTCGTTACTGGTCTCCAACTGGACATTGAGCCACTGACCACAATTCTTTGCATGTGGCCATCCAGCCAGTTCTTTATCCACCAAGTGGTCCATCCATCAAATTGATGTCTCTCCAATTTATAGACAAGGATGTCGTGTGGGACAGTGTCAGACGCTTTGCAAAAGTCCAGGTAGATGACATCAACTGCTCCACCCCTGTCCATCAGTTCCATAGCCCCATCATAGAAAGCCACCAAATTGGTCAGGCAGGATTTCCCCTTAGTGAAGCCATGCTGGCTGTCACCAAGCACCTTGTTGTTTTTCATGTGCCTTAGCATGCTTTCCAGAAGAATCTGCTCCAGGATTTTGCCAGGCACAGAGGTGAGACTGACTGCTCTGTAGTTCCCTGGGTCATCCATTTTCCCCTTCTTGAAAATGTGGTTATATTTAGGGAACTTCACCTGACTGCCATGATTTTTCAAGTATGATGGACAGTGGCTTAGCAACTTCATTTGCCAGCTCCTTGAGGACCCATGGATGGATTTCATCAGGTCCCATGGACTTGTGCACATTCAGGTTCTTAAGATGATCTTGAACCTGATCCTCTCCTACAGTGGGCCTAAGGTCTTCATTCTCACAGTCCCTGCACCTGCCTTCCAAATGTTATGTAGATTATTTGTATGTTATATAGATTAGTTTTCTGCTTTTATTGAAAACCAAGCTGGTTTTAGTATTTGCACTTTTTTAGTGCAGTAAAGTTTTGTAACTAAGGTTGGGCAGAGAAGAGATTCAGAGCAGCCCTGCGGAGAAGGACCTGGGGGTGTTGATTGATGAGAAACTTAACATGAGCCAGCTTCAGTGTGCTCTCACAGCCCAGAAAGCCAACCATATCCTGGGCTGCATCAAGAGGAGTGTGACCAGCAGGTCGAAGGAAGTGATCCTGCCCCTTTACTCTGCTTTCTTGAGACCTCACTTGGAGTATTGTGTGCAGTTCTGGTGTCCTCAACATAAAAAGGAACTGTTGGAACAAGTTCAGAGAAGGCGACGAGGATGATCAGGGGACTGGAGCACCTCCTGTATGAAGATATGCTGAGAAAGCTGGGGCTGTTCAGCCTGGAGAAGAGAAGGCTGCATGGAGACCTCATAGCAGCCTTCCAGTATCTGAAGGGGGCTTATAAGGATGCTGGGGAGGGACTCTTCTTTAGGGACTGTACTGACAGGACAAGAGGGAATGGGTTAAAACTTAAACAGGGGATGTTTAGATTGGATATAAGCAAGTTCTTTACTGTAAGGGTGGTGAGGCACTGGAATGGGTTGCCCAGGGAAGTTATGAATGCTCCATCCCTGGCAGTGTTCAAGGCCAGGTTGGACAGAGCCTTGGGTGACATGGTTTAGTGGGAGGTGTTCCTGCCCATGGCAGCGGGGTTGGAACTTGATGATCTTAAGGTCCTTTCCAACCCTAACTATTCTATGATTCTATTGTCCCATAGAAGCTTTTGTATTTTTTTCCTGCTGTTTCCGTCCTGGCATCCTTCAGTTTTACCATAAAAGATGCTATCACTGAAAGACCTAATCATTGAAAATTGCCTTTAAAGCTTGGTTCTTGAAATAGCTTCCAAGATTGGTCTTGTACACAGCTTCTCCAGTGGATGTTGGCTTTCTACTTCCCAGAAGATGTTTTTACATGCCTTGGAAGGGAAAATGCAAGTATTTTGCAAGATTCCATTTTCTGACATTGGAATGCCACATGGAAATTTCTCCTGTGGTCCTATTCTAGTGGTTGGGTGTTTTTTTTTTTCACATATTTTTCAGTCCTGTAATAGGTCATGTTATAGAGACGAATCCTTATAGGAGAGAGATTATTCAGCTGTTTCAAAAATACTGCAGAGCAGCCTAAGAGAACAAGAGAGGATTTTTTTTTTGTAGCGGAAGAGATTAACAAGTTCACACAGGTGATCTCAGTCGTGTGCCATCTCTGTCCTTTGCTCTCTAGCATGCTTCTGAATCCATGCTGTTAATGGTTTACTTATGGGTTGAATACAATGTATGATTCATGCACCAAGTAATCACAGGCTCCCAGCCAGGGGTGTCTGGGTTCTTCTGGGTTGTGTTTTGATTTAGATTAGCTGAATGGTTTGTCCCTTTTTTTAAAGGTAGTAGTTGAAAACTGAAAGCTGAAGAAAAAAGCGTGCTTGATTACTGTGATAATGAACTTTGAAAACACTGATCCTTCAGCCTTCGTTCATCATAGTACAGAATTTTAGATTAAATTTAGAGGAGTTTCTTTTGCTATGTGCTACTAATAATGGAGGCTGGTTAGAAGTCTCTCTTGGACAACAGAGTGCACACAGGTCTTGTACCTCTTCGATTATGCCTACCACCATTCAGAAATCTCCAATTTAAAGCAATGTCATTCAGATGATTATGTAATTAATAAGAAACTTTAATATATATTAACCTTAAGAGTATAAAATTATAACTTTTTGGGGGGTAGACTTTTGGTTTGTATTTAATGTTTGGTTTTTGTTTGTTTAAGATGCTTCTTGCTGGGGCAGTAAGAATTGCGGATAAAATTGAGTCTGGTAAAACATCTGTAGTGGTACATTGCAGCGATGGTTGGGATCGAACTGCACAGCTCACAGCACTAGCTATGCTTATGCTGGACAGCTACTACAGAACTATCAAGGGGTTTGAAGTTCTCATAGAGAAAGAATGGATAAGTTTTGGCCACAGATTTGCAATGGTAAGCTGAAATATTTTGTATGGAGTTTGTCAATTTCAGAGCTTGTATTTTGAATAGCATGTTTTCTCATAGTACTCTGATGCATTTTAGTTATCTCTGGTGTCCTTCTTTTAATGGTGTGATTACGTCAGAGAATTATGACCTGTTCATTTTTAACAGGAAATCTCTGTGAGGTAATATAAAGTATCTCTGTGTGAGATAATCTAAAGTAAATAAGAATGAAGTGGCTTGAACATAATGGTTAGAAAAAATAACATGGCTTTTTTGTAAGGAAGAGAGACTGTAACACGTTGCTTCATCTTTAACAATCTTATGAATGGAGAAACAAGGAAAACAATTAAGGTGTCTAGAAGGTAACATTGCTTGAACCATTACCCTGATTTAAGGTTGAAGTGTAATTTAACACGTGGGCTAAAAGGGAATTATGGCATAAATTATTATGATGTTTTGTGGGCTCTGACTCTGAGATGGTTTAAGGAGAAATGACATGTAGTTGTGGCAGGTGGATATGGAATAGTTTTTGTTTCAGTACAGTCTTAGTAAATACCTACCAGTGTGATCCCACTCGTAGAGATAAATGGTTGTGCAGTAAAAGAGGGGAAACAACTGGCACAGCTTTGTTGACCAAGTGTAATTCCAGCTCTGCTCAACAGCAAAGGCATATACATGTGAATATTGGAATGTGTTTTCAGTAGCTGAAAAATACAGGTTAGCATTATGGAATTTTGTATGCAGTTTGCTTGTCTTGTTCAACCCCTGGAACATATTTAAGCATTTCTGAGCTTTTAAGTGTTGGGTCAGTACAATAAATATACTAGACTGAAATTAAAAGTTTGATTTGACTTTCAGCGAGTAGGACATGGAGATGATGATCATGCTGATGCAGACCGATCTCCCATTTTCCTTCAGTTCATTGACTGTGTCTGGCAAATGACAAAGCAGGTAAGATGCTTACGAGTATATTTCTAAGAAGTCTTAGACTTTATCTTGGGAACATAATGCATTTAGGAGAACACATTCCTTTGCAGAGGAGTAGCAAATTTTGCTGAAGTTGGTTGTGCAGTGACTGCACCATGCCCACATATGGAAACTTTTGCTCAAAGTTTCCTCCACAAGGAACTAGAGTAGAAATATTGATTTAAAACCAAAATACCAGCAATCCTTTTTGTTTAAAATAGGCTTTCAAAGGATTTTCTGATTACGTAAATGAGGGTTATTGAGGAGATAAATCGTTTGCATTGCATGTTCACCGGTAGAGTACATGTTCATACGGATTTTTATTGTCCTCAAGAAACAGCAAAAATCCAGGCTGATTGTGAACTGAGGGGAGGAAAGGGTTCTTCTATGTGTGTCAAATGTGAAATATAAGTTAATGTTGGCTTCATTATGCATACAGGACAGCCCTTCTAACGTACAAACCTATTCTCAGATAAATTTTATTACTTCCAGCACTGCTGTTAGCTCTGGTTCAGGGGAGATCTTGGAAATTAGTGGTATTTGAGATATCAAAATGTTAAAATTCTCATTTTTTTCTGAGTATGTTACATTATAGCATGGCTTTAGCCTTCATTTTCCTTACTTTGCACCTCCATGAGCATAAACCTAAAATTTGTCTGAGCTTTTATACTGCTGTTCCTTAATGGGGTTACTGAAATTGCCCACATGAAGGCTTTATTTGCAATTAAATAGAAGTGCTTGACTCCTCTTTTTGTTTTTTAACTCCTTGAAGCCTAACATGGATCTATGCTCTTATGGTAAAAGCAATTATACTGAGGTCTGCATAGTATGTGATTTGTTTTGAAAAGAGGAGGTTAACTGTCTGGTTCCATATGATTCTGGGGCTCCCAGCTCTCTTAGCTTAGTCTCCTTGTTCTGAACTTGGTTCTTAAAACCTTACATCATAGTTTCCAAAACTTGTATTCAAAACAGTCATCGTCAGTGCTTTATGAAAGTTCCCTGCTGTAATACTGGACCCTTGTTCAGAGTCCCTTGAAAACTGTTGCTTTCTGTGTATCTGTATTTCAGCGTTAATGTGCTGCTTAGTATAGCTGCAGAAAATACATGAAAAATTCTGTCCTTCTCAGAGGAAGGCTATTAGCAATAGCAAAAAGAAGCAGTTCTTAGCACCTGGCAGGAATAAAAGTCCTATGGGGAGATCCATAACTGAGAGCAGCCTCTTCTATTTTTGTGATCACCCTTGCCACCTCCTGTATCTTGCTATAAACAGTTTAGTTCCCTCTACTTAAAAAAAAAACCAAACCAACAGATAGGCGGCAGAGAGGAATCTGTGAAGCATTTTGCCAATACCACATCTGTTCAAGACCTACATCCAGAAACTGCTCTGAAATATGTGAATGGCAATGCATTGATAAATCATTATTGTTACAGCAGGGTGAGGAAAAAAAGAAAATGGCATTCTTGGAGAGTTCTTGCCCACTTATTTTTATCTTTTAGTTGACTTTTAACACCTAGAGAATAGATGTGAATATTGTGATTACCTTCACACAGACCTGTGAAAATCAGGGTTTTGTTTTATCCTTATGTAGATCATTGACTTGTAAAACAGTGCTAGTTTCATACATTAGAAACCATGGTAAACATTTGTGAAATATTCCAAAGCTCAAATAAGTGTTAATGACTGTGGGAGGGCGTCAGGGCCTGGGTCTGGGCTTGGGCTCAAAGCAAACAAAACATTTAGGTTCTGAGAACTACATTCTTAAAACAGTCAACTTAATGCAGTGAGAGAATCTCTTAACTTCCTATTAAGATATAAATTCCCACATAGCTTCAGACAATGAAACTTAATACTTGACAGCCTTGTATCTTCCCTTGGCTTTTTATGCTCTTCATGACACACACTTACAGTAATGAGAACTGGAGAGGAGTACAATATCAGATTTTAATAAAAACCACATGGTAAAGTAATTTCTGTTAGTAAATTCTGATGATTTTGAATAGCAGATATCAAACTGGAAAAGCCACAAGTGATCTGATGCAATACTGATGCCCTGTTAAAATTTAAACAAAGCTATAAAATTTGCATGTCATATTGCAGCTAAACTAGCAGCTTTCTGCCTTTCATGCACAGTACCCACGCAGGAGGAAAGTTTGTTTATAGTTGGTAGAAAGTTGAATCCTGTTTGTTACTGGATGTCATCCTTTGCCAGAGATGCATTTTCACTAGTTTCAGTGGTGTACCTTGTTACGATTCAGCTGACCCAATTCAGTCCCATTCCACAATCATAAGAACTATTTTGCAAAGTTCTTCAATTTTAAATGTTACTGTAGTAAAGAATGAGTTCATTGATTAAAAAGCAAGTTTATTTTGCATGTTTCTGAATCAGATGCCACTTGTCATCATCAGACCTCTTGAACAAGAGAATTCTTCTTTTGAATACCTCCTTCACAAAAACCCCCAACAACTCCAGCAGCATCGAGTGATATTTTAATGACCCATGTGTTCTCTCACAATTAGTGGATTTGACAAGAAGTTTATTTTCATTTGGGGAGTTTTTCCACCTGAATCTTCAAACAGATGCTAATAGGATTGGAACTACAGAGGAAAGCATTTTTAGGTCAGTGATTCTTCAGCAGCGGTAATAGAAGCTTTACAGTCTTAATACATCAGCTCCAACAGTAGAACTCTTGTATCCAAAGACAGGGTTTCAATAAGTGCTATCACTTATTAATAAATTAGTTGGAGTGCAACCACTGATGTATGGAATTTTGAATATGCTTCACTGGATTGGAATAGCAGCCATGTCAGCATCCATCTGATTAGTATGGACCCGTCACAACACAGAACCCTAATGTGACAAGGCTCATTAAGTGCTTTCAGCTAAAAAGAGTCCTTTTAGGAGAGGCTTTTGTCTTCAAAGTTATTTCCAAATATTATTTTGATCCTTTGCAAATTGTTGTTGCTCTCTGTATCTGATTGCTGCTTTGGGCTGGACACTGAGATTGAGGTCTGAAACCCACTGAATTTTCCCCTAAGTTTAGCACACCTGCTTATCAAGTTCTGTTGATAACCTTTTTAAAATCATAGGTGCATTATCAACATCACTGTGTTGTAATTGAGTTTAGGCATGATTTCCAAGAGAGAAGGGAGTGCTGTAAGTGATGATGTGAATTTTTGAAGTGATTTTGAACATGACTGAAAAAATTTGATAATCATAAGTTCCTGGATGTTTTATTGAAAACAAATGGCTAGATGATTGAAAACAAACCAGTGATTTGAGAGAGAAGCCCCAGTGTGAGCATGCTGTGCTGCTGTACAGTATAGCCAGTGAAGGAAAGCTCCCATTCATTCATTTTGTGAGCTATGATATTGATAATTTCCCTACTCACAATTTTCAGATGAAAGTTGGCATATCTTGCCAGGTCTTGGAAAGAGAATGTCTTTGTAGTGTTTGACTTAAATCAAATGTTCTTTTGAAAGAACATTGCTTAAAACTTAGATCTTTCTGGGTTTAATACAAGCACACCCATTGTGTGTTACTCAGTTCTTTGCTTTCACCATGAATAAACATTTGCCCTTTGTTAAATCACAGATGACACTGAAGAGGAGTTTCTAGATCAGCTAGTTCATCCGTAGTCCCAGTTGCTGTGTTATTCCTCCTAGCTATACTTGCCTTTTTTCTTTTTTTATTTAAAGTAGCTCTTGAGTCACTCTGCCACAGTGTTCAGTATTCTTCAGTGGCTCATTACAGAAACCAGTCCTCTGCTTTCTTCAGATCTAAAATATTGACTTGATATTTCTCCATATAGCAGGAAATTCTTCCTTCTTAATCTGTAACTTTGCATTTTAGACTTCTATAAAGATATAGTCTTTTAGTAGGAATGGACAAAATTTGTTTCATTTGTCCTGAAAATTAGCCTCTGTGTCATGGTAATGAGAGAAATGCTACTTCTTAAGTTTTCCTTTAGTCTTTTAATTTTTTTTTTCCCTCCTAAATGTTTATCATTCTGTATCTGTGCTTGCAACCCTTGTCATACTGAACACAAAGTTATTTTGACACATCAAGCAGTTGCCATATGCAGTCCTATCGTAAAATCTGATTGAAGTAAGACCTTTTCCATCTGAATAGCTAGCAGCCCGTGCAGTTTGTATTCATCCCTTCCTTTATGATTTTAGAGCACTACAGATTAAGATATATTTTTAAGTTTTTGTTTTCAAATTTCTTTTTCCTAGAATTAGTTTTTCCTTTTTTGGTGAATGAAGTGCCTAGTGGTGCTCTGTGGAGTAGCAGAACTTTCATTTCACATGTATAGGATTTACTTTCCAATAGAAAAGAAGAGAGATTAAAGGCTTATTGTACATAGCTGATGGTAAACTCAAGGGGTGATATGGAGAAAAGTAACTTAGTTGGATAGAAAGTAAAAGAAACATGTTAAATATACGTTAAAGACGTTGTATGTGCCATAGACTTTATTATCCAATTTATTGCGTATTAGAATAGGAAATAAAACTCTTAAAAGTCATCATTCTCCCCCCCTCCCTTGATTTCTTGTCCTGTAACAAGAGACATAAAGCATTGTTGAAGACAGTTTTAGGTGGCTTAGAACGGAATACTGCTGAGCTCCTTAAATGGATTGCTTTGTGTCACCAGTTTCACATTAGCTAATGTTCCTATGTTTGTATTCTGGTATACTTGGATAATGAATGTAAGGTTTGTCTCTGAGGAGTATTTATAAAGAAGTATGTAGGTAAAATGTATATTGCAGGGGGAGTTACTGAATTTTCTGAGATTTCCTGAAAATAATCACTAAATAAATAAAAAAAAACCCCTTATCTACTTATTTTGATTATTTCTTATGTCTGAGTTGGTTTTTTTTCCACTGCTTAAAATAAAGTTTAAAGTAATTTTTCCAATTTTTTATTTCAGTTCCCTGCAGCCTTTGAATTCAATGAGTTATTTTTGATCACCATTCTGGATCACCTTTACAGTTGTCTCTTTGGGACTTTCTTATGCAATTGTGAAAAAGAGAGATTAAAAGAGGTAAATAATTAGTGTAATGCATATTCTTAATATGCTGATTTTATATGAAAATGCTTAGAATACAAGACCTAAGAACATCTGTACTGTGGTGTTGATACATTTGTCACATAGTCTTAAAAGACAATGTGGACGTGAAATTTCATGGTATGAGAAATATATACTGCATGTCCTGCTATTAAATTTTCTTTAGTTATTACATGTTCGGAGGGTTGAGGGATTCAGAAGCTCCTCTGTCAGATTTCTAGCCAACATACACAATTTTAAATGATCATTGTCAAATTCTATTAACATTTCTTTCACTGTTTCCAAAGGAACTCCTATGGATGACTTTGCAGGTCACTTTAGGATATGATTAGATGGAACATATGGTTGAAGACTACAGAAATTTACAATACCTAAATGAATGAAGTTAATGAAATCTCAAACTCAATGAAATATTTTGAGTTTGAAAACAAAATAATTAATAAGTTTGTTAATATTCCAAATACATTCTTGCTTACTTTTGGCTTTTTAGTTTTAATGCTTCATGTTTTTTAAAGCAAGGAACAATTTGTTGCCATATTTAGTTTTCTATTTTTTCTGGTTTGTCTCTACTGCTTCTATATGGAAAAAGTTGCATGTAAATACCACAAGATGGAGCTGAATAACATGTTGCCAGCAAATGCAAGATTTCCACGCAGCTTTCTTTTATAAATGGTCAGATGCAATTCTCAATAAAGAAATGCAATTTAAGACGCAGTGGTAGTAGAAACACATGGTTTACAACACTGAAGGGTGTAAAATTGCAGAACAAATCTGATACAAGTTCAGATTTCCAGTCTCTGATCTAACCATGATTATGCTGATTACATTTAGAATAATGCAACTTTCAGAAGTGCAAGTAAAGGTAAAATAGGCATTTTAAAGCATAATAGCAATTGACAGGAGCAAATAGTGTGAGAGAGAGAATTGAATAGTTTTTTTCACAGATGCTATTTAAATCTTCTAGGCCATGTATCTCAACTAATTTTCGGCTCAAAGCTCATTTAATTTTACTTTGGGTTTTTTAGTTGGTCAGTGTGTAACCATATGTTTAAGTAGCTGTAACCATTGCTGTAAGTTCTGAGCAGTACAGATTTATTTTGCTCAACTAGACCTTAGTGTCTCTGAAACTAATATGCCTGAGTCTCCTTTCTCAGTTAGCCTTGGACCAGTTTAAGTGCTGAAATGTTTTCCTGAAGTTTTAATGCTGTTCAGTAATCAGCTTCTGGAAGTGTTCTCAGAGTGCTTACGATTTTCTAGTAGATAAGGTAAATGTCACAGACAAAAATGCTGATCTGTAGATGCTAATCTCATATTTTAAAAGAGTTTACAATCCATATAATTAATTTTATTCTTTTATCAATCAGGAGGTAAGCACAAAGACTGTCTCGCTGTGGTCCTATATAAACAGCCAGTTAGATGAGTTCACAAATCCTTTCTATGTGAACTATGAAAACCATGTCCTGTATCCTGTTGCTAGTCTGAACCATTTGGAACTGTGGGTGAACTACTACGTCAGATGGAACCCAAGGATGCGGCCTCAGGTATGAGCTTTCACGTGACTTTCAGTCAAGAGCACAGAAATTAAAAAAAAAAAAAAATAAAAAAATATTATTTGTCATAGTGTGGAATGCAGCATTTCATTTCAAAAGTGCTCATCGCTTGCACATATTTCAGCTTGGTAGGAAAAAGGGGAATGTTTCTGAAGAAGGTGAAGCATGTGTTCAAACCTGGTAAAATGATGTTTTCAGTGAAGTCACCAGTAGAACAGGGAGTTACAGTACCACTTTATTGCTTTTGAAAGGTAACAGATTAACAATCCTTGTTGTTAGAAGATTCCTTTTGTAACACTTCTGTAATTCTAACACTTTTAGTACTTTTATTGCCTGAACTTTCTGGTAGAGGTTAGCGTACCTTTGTTTTTAATCATGTTTTCACTTTACCAACAATGATATAAAGTATAGCAGCAGTTTCTGAAAGAACTGGACTACACACCAACTCAGTTTGTAGGCTCTCTAAACTATCCCATAGATGCTTGTTTTCAGTTGACCTTTATGGTTTCAAACGGGCATGCTGAAGATTAAACACTCCGTGCACATGCTCCTTTATTCATCCTAGCATTTGTTCTTATAAATACTGTCTGCTATTCTGATAAATCTCTAAATCTCATCAGACGAATACTCCATATACTGTCATGCCTAGAAATCTGAAGAAAGAACATTAAGTTTGTGTCACAACCATGATATATCTGAGGGTGCTACACCATCTCTTTATTAAGGTAACATTCCAAGGTATCCCCAAACGTATTATGATAAATTACCTGTATTAAGTTACTGCTTGAAAGCTGCTGTCGTCTTCTAGCAGTTAGAATGAGACACAAGTTTCAGGTTTATTAGATGCTCACAGGTCAGAGGCTGTTGTAAAAGATGGTGTTCCAAGGTAAGTTTCAAGGACGATACACTGGTAGATACACCAGGTGTCTAAGAAATACTTTTTAAGGTCCTGGAAAAGGCAGAATTGCTTGCTTTCTCACTGAGATGTTTCCTCTGAGCTGCTTTGTTTCCATTACTTGTTCTATTTTGTTTGATGACCTGTGACTGTTGGGTGCCTGTTAGGTGATAGCATGAGGTAAAACTTGAAAGATGGTGTATTTTAATCTTTATGGGTTTAATGTAAAATTGTTAACTAGGTGTTGTTGTTTTGGTTTTTGTTTAGCAAAATACCATCTTTCCCTTAGGCTATTTGCTGAAAAAAACATTTGTGAGGTGGTTTATACAGGTTTTAGTATAATCAACCTGCAGCAGTGTCAGTTTATTACTTGTATTTAATTGAGATCTATAGGCTCTGAAAGTGAGCCAACTTTATAAACACACATGAAAAGACATGAGGGTGGGGAAGAGATGACATAGAGATATCAGAACAATCATATACTTATAGGCAAGCTCTACTCACTGCCTCTCTGTTGGAGAGCCCTCTGCTCACTTCTTTTAGAGAGTGCTCTGCAGTCACTCCAGTGTGTGTGACTCATTGATCTTCCTTGGCCTTTGAGAACAGATTGCTCCGATCAGCAGGCTGAAGGCAGCAAAACCTGATGATCCTGGTAACTGTCCTAACTTTACTGCCACCTGACTAATACAACTGGTTTGACTTCTTAGTTTTACGACCTTAGCTTTGTCTTGTGAAGACACATCATGCCATTCCTTTTGTCTCTGGCCTGAATTTATATTATATTTGTGACAAATATATGGAATATAAGGCTCTGTCCAACCTGGCCTTGAACATTGCCAGGGATGGAGCATTCACAGCTTCCCTGGGCAGCCCATTCCAGTGCCTCACCACCCTTACAGTAAAGAACTTCCTCCTTATATCCAGTCTAAACTTCCCCTGTTTATGTTTTAATCTGTTACCTCTTGTCCTATCACTACAGTCCCTAAGGAAGAGTCCCTCCCCAGCATCCCTATAGGCCCCCTTCAGATACTGGAAGGCTGCTATAAGGTCTCTGCACAGCCTACCCTTCTCCAGGCTGAACAGCCCCAACTTTCTCAGCCTATCTTCATACAGGAGGAGCTCCAGCCCCTTGGTCATCCTTGTGGCCCTTCTCTGGACTTGTTCCAACAGTTCCATGTCCTTTTTATGTTGAGGACACCAGAACTGTGCACAATACTCCAAGTGAGGTCTCAAGAGAGCAGAGTAAAGGGGCAGGATCACCTCCTTTGACCTGCAGTCACACTCCTTTTGAGGCAGCCCAGGATACAGTTGGCTTTCCCAATATACAGTATACTAAGTTTCCTTTCTTCTCTACTTGCTTTGTCTAGTTTCACACCCTGATAGCTGATAAAGTAACATTCAGACCCATTCAGTGATAGAAAAAAAGACAATGACCATTGTGATGCCCAGCAGGTCTTCACTTACCTCCCATGAAAAAAAAATCTTAATCAGTGGATTTATTAAAAGAAAGGGCATCTCTGCCTACTGATAAAAAGGTGTTTTTGTCAAATACCTTTTAATGTGGTTCTTTTGGTTTTCAACTCTAATAAGAGAAAATTAAATATTTAAAGTGAATGAAGAGCTTTCTGATGAACAGCAGTTCAAGGCACACTCACATGCTGTTTTATCAGCTGCAAAAACATCTTCAGGAAACTAGAAAATGTTTATTGTTTTCTAGGAGCTCACCAAAAAGGAGAAATACCCAACAGATAAATTTAAGGGAAGATGAGTAGTAGTCCTTTAATATAGTCAGGGTGGTTGTTTGATACCCCTTTTCAACCAAGTTTGTCTTGTGGGAGAGAAAACTCAAGAGCAGAAAGGTAGGTTTTGATTTGAGGCAACATTTTAGGTTTTCTAATTCTGAATTTTTGAATGGTCTGAGAGACGTTTCCATCCCTGGCAGTGTTCAAGGCCAGGTTGGATAGGGCTTTGAGCAATCTGGTCTAGTGGAAGGTGTCCCTGCTCCTGGCAGGGGGTTAGAACTAGATGATTTTAAGGTCCCTTCCAACCCAAACCATCGTAGGATTCTATGATTCTAAATTAGTCATTGCACTTCATTGACTTGGCTTATTGGAAATGAGCATACGTCACCTTTATTTTTTTTTATTTGAAAATTAGTGAATGCTAACTGGATATAACCATTTACTTGTGCATTGTTGTACTCTCTCTTTGGTATCTGTGCCTCATCAGACCTTTAACAGTACAGTAAGGTCTGAGTATATTCTTCACTGCACATACAGAGTTTAGAGTTATGTTTTGGAAAAGGAAGATTGCTTATAACGGTAGATTTTCAGTTCTATCCAAGTTCTGTGGAAGGCTGATTTAGTGGGTTTGGTGGTCTTCATTTGCATCAAGAACCCCATTTTAGGATTACAGCTGTATTGCAATAGATTCCGTGCAATCAGGTGACACACAAGGTTCAAAGCCAAGTGTCTGAGAAGTGAACACCATAGAAAATTTGAAATGTGAACACCTTTTGTAGATTCTCTTTTTGCTAAACTCCTCTTCAACAAGGTCATTCTAATTAAGTGAAATAAAATGTTACTTGGTTTCCATTTGGAGGTTTTACATCATTATTGACTTCTTGTCCCAAGAAAATTAGATAGATTTTAGTCTTATCTTGCTTGAGTTTATTGATTGAGAAGATTTTTTTTTTTCCCCAGATTTGCCCTTTCCTTGGGTTGGAGAAATGTGTATTTGTATGTGACATGTGGGAAATAAGCTCTTTCATTCTGTCATACAGAGGTGTGTGTTCTGTGGGTACCTGCTACTGGGCTAACAGATTACCCTACTAGCCTAGAGCAGATAAGATAGTTGGATGTTTTGAATTATTTCAGTTGATAGCATGTATTTCTCTTTCCTTTTCCATATATCATTCAGAAGTCTTTTTTTTACACTGGTTTCAGGAGTTCTGGCTGCCAGATGTCAGTTAGTTATCTGCTTGGGCAATGATGGAAGGTGGGGAGAACACAGCAAATGATCCTCCTGAATATGACTTCTGCAGGGGCAGTATTTTTGAGTTACTATACTCTGAGCATTCATACATGCAGAGCATGAGTAAAAGTCCTGGTTCTGTCATTTCAGGCTGTGTCTTTCTATGTGAGAGGCAATAGTCACAAAATTTGCATAATCCATTAGGATATGGTTTTTTTTTATGCCTTCTAGGAAATGACATTTTAACTCTTAGAGTACAAGGCTTAAACTTGTTTTGTTTTAATTTTGTTGTTGTTTGGGGTTTTTTTTGTAATTTTTCTGGGAATTTAGCCACTGTGCTGGAGAAACTATCATAGCAATCCCTGGAAGTTTTTCAAATAGATTCTTTCCTCTGTATGCGTTGACTTTCATCTAGAATATATGGCTAGCACAATCTATAACCTAGAAATTTGGTTCAGCTATTGGAATGCGACCATCTTTGGAGCTTCCATCAAAATCCAAGGAAAGTCTGTTTGTAGGTTAAGAGCTGGCTTAAAAAAAGGCAAGGAAAAGGTAGGAATAAATAACTGTTTGCTTAGTATATACAGAAATGTCTGGAAAGCATATAAACAGGTTGCCATGATTGCTGCTATTGTTTTTTTAATCCTGTGTATAGAACTGCAGAATTTGATGTGTTGAACAGTTGAGTGATTAGATGTCAGCTGAACTGCAATGTCAAGAAACATTAAATATAGTATATTTAAAAGAACAAATAAGATCCTAAGCATCAGCGGAAAACTTGTTGACAATAAACTGGAATACAGAGTTACTGAGATGCTTTATCCTGCCTATAACAGAATATGATGTGGCATGTGGGGTGTTTGTGTTATTTGTACCTGCCTTCAGTCATGTTGCCCAGCTTTTTCATCTCTGAGCATCTTGACATAGGTTGTAATATTTTCAAAGTTCATATGTCTGATTTAACACTGTTTTGTGTCAGCACAAAGCCACCACATGGCTCTGGAAATGCTTGGCATTGTGGTCTGCAAGCCATGGTCTTGAGTCCATCTTTTTGCATAAAAAATGGAGGCAGGAGATGTCAGGAGGAGGGATCCTGGGTTCAATAGCTGAGTGTTAATCTAGC